GACAATGTCGGTGAGCTTGTTGATAGGTAAGGGCTGGGCGATGGTACCAGACTTGCTGGGGAAGGACCGCGGGAGGTTGTTGAAGCCGTAAGCAATGGCGACATCTTCCATGATATCTGCCTGGTGGAGGACGTCAGCACGGGTGGGAGGGATGTCCACGTCGATCAGGTCGGCGGATTCCGCGGAGGGCCTAGCGGTATAGGCCATCTTCGTCAGGATCTTCGCGATTTCCTCTGCAGAGAGGTTCAAGCCGCAGCACTCGTTAAGGTACGAGACCTCAGCCTGAGTTGTACGAGAAGACATATCCGGCGTAACTCTGGTCTCGCCGTTATGGTCGGAGACAATTTGGACCGGCTCAATTCTATGAGGAGATTAGACCATCGGAACTTGGAACCGGGAGGTGATAGGAGGTCTTACGTGAAAGGCTCCGAAGTATATTGGGAGAACATCGCAACCATCATCTTGTTGACAATCTCAACCTTCGTCTTGTCAAGGGCAGTAATCTCGATGAAAACGTTCTTAGTGTCCAGGGTGATCTTAGAATGGTCGCCGTTGATGATGGGAGGCAGTGAGCAAACTGTCCGCTTCGAATCGTAGATGACGGGGTAGACAGGGGAGTCGCGAATAATGTGAAGGTATTTACCCAGGTGCTTGTCTTTCTGTTTACAGAAGTAAGCATCTATCCTAACCTACCGCATACGCAGTAGCCATACCTCGTAGAAAGTCATCAACTCCTCTCCGTTCAATTCCTGGGTCTGGTTCAAAGGAACAAATTTGATATCTTTAGGTGGCAATGCCTCGTAGGTGAAAGGTCCTTGTATCGTATCCAAGTCGTGAGTACCGATCGAAACGAGTGTTCTTTGTCTTGCAAGGTTCTGGTGAAGCTTGTCTTGCAGGGCGATGAAAGATTCATAGCGAGCTTGATCGAACTTGATATTCCGCAAGATAGCACCAGAGACCAAGGGTCGGACTTTCATAGTCTTTGCCATATATCTTCAGCTTGAGTTCATCACGTTGGCACCTCTAAGAACCACTTACATCCTCCTTTACAATGATCTTCTGCAGCTCACCGTTTGCGGGCTCGACCAGTCTGTAGTTAGGCAGAGATTTCCGACCCAAGAAGATGTTGAGCATGAGGGCAATGCCCTCAAAGCACAGCATGTCATATCTGCAGATATCTCAGAATATATACCATATATATAAGTCACTCGGAGATCAGTGGGTGCGTACCGGTTGGCCGGGATTTCGATCTTGAGCTGAGGAGGCTCCTGCACTCCATCCACGATTGGTCGGTCTGAATTTGTTGTCTACAAGTTTCCGTTCAGTATTTCCATATTGCGACGGGTGGAAGGTAGAGGTAGGAGTCATTACATCTTCATCGAGCTCAATACCTGTTCAAACCAGTCAGCGCGGGCCCCGCTAAAAAACTACTCGTATAACTCCGACATACCGAATTCGAAGCACAACTCATCAAATTCCTCGGTGGTGTACCTGAAATAGAAAAAATAGTTATTAGCGAATGGTATGAACAAATTGGAAAGGTCTTCCCATACTCCCGTCCGAGCTCCTTGAAGAGCGCGGCCTTGTCGACCGAGATAGTGGGCATGGTGAGGGGTTGGGTATTTGCGATTCAAGGTCAAGAGATCGGGGCTCGAAAGGGTTCAGTAAGCCTCCCACGCACAGAAGACGACTCTGTGAAGTGACCCAAAAGTCCAATGGCAAGGTTGTCCGTGTGCGGGGTTCAAGTGATTGCGCTGAGTCTATGCCACCGGTGGAAGAGTCATCAAGTCCGTGGCACTTTTGTTCCCCGTTAGGAACTTGGGGCTTGACCCTCACGGCGGGCGCTGCGCCAGCCACATCTCAGTACACCGCCACCGATTTCACCCCTCCCTAAATTCATTTCGGGACGGCAGATTAACTACGCAGACGTCTTGCACCAGCCACAAGCCCCATTGCTTTCCCAAAGTCACGACCAACAGACCGTCACCTTCGCAAGATTCCTCCAGAACAAAGCTTCCCCTCCACTCGCAATCTCCGTCAGATATATTCCCACCTCGTTCTTATTTTCCATTGTCTTGTTTCGTGAACATTTTAATATTTTATGATACACTAACGCCAGACGATTGTTCGCTCGGTACCAGTCCAATTGTCGAGGTATGATACTGCTGCTATTCTTGCTCACTTGTCCTGCGGCGGCCCAAACCCCACGAAACCTCTCGCTCCGGGGTTCTTGCAAACCACCTATCCCTCCCTATACCACCGATATTCTTCCCGACAGCTGAAACTAATCCGCATTCGAGCAGCCTCCGCACATTGTCGTTACTTTATATGACAGCCTACCCTTTTTAGAAACATCCCTCCCCCCGTAATTATCGCCGCGTTCGCGTGATATCAGATCGACCAGTGGTCTAAGTGAGGACTTGGACCTGTTCCGTCCTCGCCTCTCTAATCGTCTCCTTTGTCCGATAGCACAACATACAATACAACAAATTCGAGATGGAGAGTCAGGGTGAAAACGACGAGCTCTACCCTATCGCCGTTCTTATTGACGAGTTGAAGGTATGGCACTCCGTCCTGATGGCGCGGCGCCTCTACAAATAAACGTCGACGGATCTAATCCCCGGCTTTTCTAGCACGATGATGTCCTTATCCGTCTCAACGCTATTCGCCGCGTTTCTACCATTGCATTGGCTTTAGGGGCTGAGAGGACCCGAGAGGAACTCATTCCATTTCTTGACGGTCAGTCTCCAGTCATCACTCGTGGACCAGCTAGGAAAGCGGAGCACACCTAACATGAGCCATCACAGATTCTGTTGAGGACGAAGATGAAGTTTTGACTGCGCTGAGCGAAGAACTGGGTAACTTCGTAGAATATGTTGGTGGTCCAGAATATGGACATGTTCTCCTTTCCCCCCTTGAGAACCTGGCGGCTATCGAGGAACCTCTGGTTAGGGAGAAGGTAAGATACAACAAAGAATGAATCGGTTGACCCTATGCTTACAGAGCCCTAGGCTGTTGAATCCCTCAACAAGATCGGCGAGCAGCTTTCCGAGAAGCAGATTGAAGAACATTTTATCCCTATGGTCCTACGTCTGTCGAAAGCCGACTGGTTCACCTCGAAAGTCTCCGCAACCGGCCTTTATTGCATTCCATACAAGAAGTCTGGCCAAGCATTGCAGCAGAGTCTCCGGCAATATTTCGGAGGTCTGGTACATGACGACACGCCTATGGTGAGAAGACAGGCTGCCAACAACTTGGCAAAGTTTGTCAAGGAAATGAAGACTCCAGTCGTCATTGAAGAAATGATACCCCTATTCCAATACCTGGCCAGCGATGACCAGGACAGCGTTCGCTTGCTTACAGTGGATATTCTTATCTCGATCGCCGAGGAGATCCCCAAGGAGCAGCAACCTAGCCACGGTGTCTTGTTGACATCCTTACGGAACCTCTTTGAGGATAAGAGTTGGAGAGTCAGATACATGGTTGCCGATAGATATGAAAAGGTACCTTCGAGCATTACATGATCAGTTTGCATCTATATGTTCTAATCAATTTTGCTAGATCGCCAAAGCTGTTCACGAAGAAGTTATCACTCGGGATATGGTACCCTCGTTTGTTAAGCTCTTGAAGGATACGGAGGCTGAAGTCCGTACTGCGATTGCTGGCCAGATTCCCGGTATTTGTTCCACGCCTTTCCTGAAACGGTTCCCGGGGCTAACCTGAAGATAGGCTTTTGCAGCTTGATCGATCGGGAAACGCTGCTTAATGAAATAATGACCAGCGTGGAAGACCTTGTTTCGGATCAATCTCAGCACGTGCGTGCGGCTTTGGGTACTCAGATTAGCGGGCTTGCCCCAATCCTTGGAAAGGAAGAGTTAGTACAACCAACTGTCTTGAAGATGATAACCAGTGAAGCTTACAACTATTGCCTAGGACTATCGCTCACCTTCTCCCTATGTTCCTCCAAATGCTCAAAGACGAGTTCCCTGATGTCCGTTTGCACATCATCTCGAAGCTGGAGTTGGTCAACAAGGGTAAGCGTGGAATTTGGAGACATAGTTGTACCATCTAACATTTCATAGTTATTGGCATTGACCTGCTGTCTCAGTCGCTTCTTCCCGCTATCGTACAACTAGCAGAAGACAAGCAATGGCGTGTCCGTCTTGCTATCATCGAATACATCCCTCTCCTCGCCAGCCAATTGGGAGTCAAGTTCTTCGACGAGCAACTCAGCGATCTCTGTATGAGCTGGCTCGGTGACACTGTCTTCTCTATCAGAGAGGCCGCCACGCAGAACTTGAGAAAACTCACGGAGGTATTTGGGGTTGACTGGGCTAAGGGCTCTATAATCCCGAAGGTCATGGCCATGGGACAGCACCCCAACTACCTTTACAGAATGACAACTTGCTTCGCGATCTCCGTACGTATATGGCATATCCCGTGGGAATGCAAATTCAGCTAATATCCTCTCCAGACACTCGCCCCTGTCGTCTCCTTAGATATCATTGAGAACTCAATTCTTCCCATCCTGGACAGATTGGTCACTGACGAGATTCCAAATATTCGATTCAACGTTGCCAAGTCTTATGCTGTGCTGATTGACACATTGCGACGCCTGCCAGCGGAGGGCACTTTGGCTAACATGGAAGGGAAGACAGCGACGCCATCGCCGCGTAGTCAGGACCTTATCCAGCAGAGAATTATTCCCAGCCTGGAGAAGCTTCAAGGGGACGACGATGTGGATGTTAGGTACTTCGCAACAACTGCTGCGGGCGGTAATGACGAGGTTATGCAGACTTCACCGTAGGCTGTTGACCTAGCTAGATAGATGCTCCCACGCTGTATGAAGGCCTTTCAGTGCGAGTGGGAAATGATACAACGGCAATCACACTACTTTTGGGAGGACTGTCAATTTTGTTACCTTAGAAATGGTCAGAGTATCTGACTGGGATGAAATGCTTAATGGCGTTTTCAATGTAGAGTTTTCTTGGGCCATTGTTCAATAATCGTGCAGAAATCCAATAACGCCACGCCTACTAAACATGTTTGACCTCCCTCAACGTCCATTTCGCCGTCACCGAGCACTACTCAGTATTACGAGCCTCTCGGTATTTACTGAATCATGTGATGTGGGGACTGGCCACTGGTAAGCAATGCATAACTAAGACAACCAAAAATAGTTGCCATACCTGTTACCAAGTTCGACTACCTACCCTTCCACTTTTCTTGCTCTCTTTCTCTGAAGGTTGCTTCACTTTCCAATCCATCCATTATAATTCGTGGTGACGATACCTCTGCAATGTCATTGCAGTGGCCTTGGCACTTTGTTTCGGTTTCTCCCACGGAGAAACAACATCGCCGCGAGCTTCTAGATCTTCGCGGATATTATGCACAATGCTCGTTCTTACTTCTGATAATACTTGTACGGGTATATAACAGCTACTTTCGAACTGCTGATAAACCGAATGACTCCCGCACCCGCCGTAGGCAGAGGTCGTGGTGGGATCTGCCCCCTTTTGCAAACTGGACAGAGACGCGTAAGCAGTATACTATCTGTATTGCCTGGTTGGTGTGCCTGTTAGGCCTCGCAGTATGGAATTCTGGCAATGGTAGGCCAGTTCCCTTTACCTTGGGGCCATTGAATATAACATGCTTTCGCCCCCTTCCCTTGCCAATATATTTATTCGCATCCGTCAAGTCCGGTGCAATTGGAAAACCGAGACAAAGCTAACCATGACACAAACAGACTACCTACATCTCACCAAAGCCCTAGGTCACGTAGCTCTTTCCCAGCTACCCTTCCAAGTTCTCATGGCTCCGGCGTTCTATCTCAACCCCAACGGCCCAGCCACGCCATCCACGATGTCCATCTTGACATCTATTTCGCAACCAGCACTGACTCCATACCACCGCCTTTTCGGCAGGATAGTCATGTCCCCATTACTAGCCGGACATGCCGCGTTATACCTAAACTTCTTCGCCCAGTCTAGTCATCCAGATTTCGGCTCTTTGCTCGCAAAGCGGATCCAAGATCCGGACGTTCAGTGGGGATTTGGCGGTCTGACTTTCGCAGTCATGATCCTGTTGTTTGTCCGGCCATTGCGTACTGCCTTCTGGGTGCAATTGTGGCCATCCTCTTCTGTTAAGGCTAGGAGGGAGGTGTTTTACTATATGCACGTTTCGCTAGTGGCGTTGTTGTGTGTTGCGGCGTATTTCCATGTGGCTCAGGCACAGATCTTCGTGATTGAGGCTTTGGGTGCTTCAGCTCTCAACGGGGTGTGTGGTTTGCTGCTGGGGTAGATGACACATCTTATGATGTGTCTATGGTATTTTGCGAGCTTGGTTGCATGTGTAATATATGAGAATGGTGCCTGAGGAATAGACTCTTTGGTTCATGGGAAACTGTGGAAGTTGTAGGTTGAGTGAGGATGCTGCCGGGGAGGATGGACGATCCAGCCGTTGAGGTGCCTCAAGGATCAACAAATCTAGTTTAGATCCTAGGGAAGCGACCGTTAATATCTGGTCTGTTCGAGAGGTTAATTACAATATAAGTGGTAGTATGCACAATATATAGAACTTCCTTATTGATACTCATAAAATATATTATACTTCAGCATAAATGATAATAGCCCTAACTCGGACCTCGTAGGGCGGCGCATGTGTTAGTAGGCTGTAATAGATCATTAAGTTAACTAATATGAGTTTCTACATACACATAAATTCTCGCGGGGTTTTACTTATTAATGAGCTCATATGGTATAAGGGTGCAAAGATGCATCATTGACAGTACGTGTGACGGTAAAGGCCATCTTCATTTTTATGGTAGGGTTGAAGGGTAGCTTCAGATAGTTTTTGTATAGAGTTTCCAGCTTCCAGCTAAGCTGCACTCAACATGCTTCAGAAATACATTCCCAGAAATCGCGTCACAAATCATTCCAAAAAGTCTTATGAGTCCATATGAATATATATGTTTATAGTGATGTACCTTACAAATCTCAGGTTAATACTCCATTACCAAACAAGAGTACTTTGTACTGTTTCTATCCAATCTCTTGAATAGCATAGTTTCATGTCGTCCTTATTTGTTAAGTATGTCTCAGTATGCTGATTCATTCCTCCGTGGTGAAGAACATTGGAATGCTACTAGTACAGCAAGGAGAAAGGGAGGAAGGAAATGGTCTTCCGTTTATAGGATCCAGGCCCTAGAGGACAAGGGGTAACTACTAGGTAGTAAATAACTCAACTTGAACAAAGAAAGAAGGTCTATATACCTCGAGGCACGGGGCAATCCATTTTCAACCGCCTTACTGCAAAGGGCTTAGTGGCCACAGCCCTGACTGCACGCCCCACCAGCAGGGCCAGGATCGTCGCCAGATCCTCCCCGCTAGGATCAACATCGTTTCGGGGGAAACCGACTAGGAACAGACGTCCGTGTATTGGGGTCATCGGTCGCTAAAGGTTGTCGTCATTCAATGAGGTCAATTTGACCGCTTGATGATTCCGTGTGTCCAAGAGTTGTTCAAGGTTCTGATCGTTCATTTCATTTTCATAAATCCAGAACACCTTTGATGGCTTCACAAAAGAACAGGCGACTCTTGGCGTCCTTCAACCGTGTGGGGTTTCTGTTTTGAGCCAATTGTTTGTTGACTCGAGGTCGGACAAAGGTATCTCGCCCTTGCGCCTTTGAACGCCCCCTTCGTTCTCCCTTCCTTGCCGCATGAAGACAGGCATTGACCATGTCCTTCGTTCATAAAAATCGCATCAATGCTTTTGCCTCGTTTTCCTCCATGCATAGAGAATCCCCTCCAGGCGGCAGGATGCGGCGCCAACGCCTGGTCGTCTCGTTAGCAACCCTGGTCTTTGTGTGCATCTCCCTTATTCTACTTAGAGACACAACGGTTCCTCGCTCGTCCCACGGACTCAGTGCGCCATTCGAGGCAAACCCTTTGCCGTCCTCTCACCCGCCCTCTCCTTCGCTCGCGGTGCCAAATCCTATCGAGCCCTCAAAAGGTCGCCAAGCGCTTCATCCACAAAATGTCCACCCGGTGGCCAGTCTCATTCAAGATGCTGAGCAGGAGTTTACCCACTTGCGGTCGCGACAATCGAAGACTTTGGCCGATGCGGTGAACGAATATCGCCGTCGATATAACATGCATCCTCCCCCCAACTTCGACAAATGGTTTCAGTTTGCTCAAGCAAAAGGAGTTCAGCTAATCGATGAATATGATACTATCTACCATTCTCTACTGCCATTCTGGTCTCTAGAGCCGAAGACAATACGAGAAAGAGCCCATGAAGCCTTGGGATATGACAACGCGATGATCGGAGTTCTGATCAGAGATGGCAAGGTTACGCACACGGAAGGGGGCCACGAAGGATATGAATGGCAGCAAGATGCAACTGCTGACATGCTGAAAAGCTTTATTCAGTACTTGCCGGACATGGATCTAGTATTCAACACCCACGATGAGCCCCGAGTGATTGTTCCCAGCGACGACCTCCAAAGACTGGTTAACTTTGCCAAAGATCACGCAATCCCCAAGGCTTTCCACAAGCAATCACTGGTGAATAAATGGTCAGATAAGCCTGCCGACCTGAACAAGGGCGACCGGGTTGATGAGGTGCGCACCACGCGCTTTAACCGATTTGCGCATCAACCCACCTGGACAAGTTCTCGGGCTTCCTGTCCACCAGATACCCCTGCACGTTCCCTCAATGAGAGTGAGCCAGATAATTTGGAGGTCTATGCGCATGGTGACTTGGGGTTCATCTACAACACGACTGCTTTTTCTGACATATGTAACACGCCTTCTCTTCGGTATAAATACGGCTTCTTCGACCGGGCCAACGCATTCGACGTGGTCCGAGACCTGTTCCCAGTGTTCTCTCAAAGCAAGATCTCAAGCTTTCAGGATATACTCTACCCTAGCCCGTGGTACTGGGTTGATAAGGTACCGTATGAAGAGGAGAAGGATCACAGTTGGGATGCGAAGGCCGACAAATTGTACTGGAGAGGCTCCACAACCGGTGGGTTTGCGCGGGCAGGCGGATGGCGACGTCAGCATCGACAGAGATTCGTCAGCAATATAAACACTCAGAGCATAGCGAAAGTGTTGTCCAAAAATGGCAATGACCAGTGGGAGTTAAATGAAGTCAGCCGCGACCCTTACCGCGAGCATTTCGATGTCAAGTTTACATACATTGGCCAATGTGACCCGAATGACTGTGCTGCGCAGGAAGAATTCTTTGTTGTGGGTGAACCAGCCGGCCAGCAGGACGCTTGGGCGTATAAATACCTGGTCGATATCGATGGGAATGCTTTCAGTGGCCGTTATTATGCCTTTCTGCGCAGCCATAGCTTGGTTTTTAAAATTGCCATCTTCCGCGAGTGGCATGATGAATGGCTCAAGCCATGGGTCCATTACGTTCCCTTGAGTTTGGCGGGCGATGAGTATGTGGAAACTACGAGGTACTTTGCTTCGGAAGAAGAAGGTAGGACCGCAGCACCACGATTAGCTCAACAGAGTCGGGATTGGGCGCAAAAAACCTTGCGCCGTGAAGACTTGGAAGTCTGGTTTTTCAGGCTCTTGCTAGAGTGAGTGTTTTCTCCCCACATGATTAGACCGTTCCTAACGTTGGTCGAATAGATACGGGCGCCTAGTCGACGACAATAGGGAGAACCTGGGATTTTCTCTTTGATGGACGTCTGTCTGACTGATCTCGTTCATCATTTATCTCACGATCCCATGTATGGCTCTCTTACAGTGCATTTTCATTTCTTTCCTTTGTTTTGCTTTGCTTACATTTATGACTACTTTATGCCCTGTACAATACCCATGACAACAGGATCGCGAATTGGCTGGATGCATTAAATGGGAGGCGTTCTGGTGTTTTTGTATACTTACTTACCGTCAATGCATTTGATCGGCTATCTATCTTATACCAAGGATCTTTATTAGTTCTGTTGTCATGGCAACAGAAACTTAGGCAAATGGGCGGCTTTTCTGCGACGGTTTATCTCAGCAAGCTCAGACCCTCTGACGAGGAAATTAGAACGGTCAGAGGGTCTGAGAAACGACGGGTCTACTCCAGAATATTTTTATTGATAAATTGTATCTCTAGATTTCTTACTTTAAGCAACAACTCATCTGACTATACTAGTAGAAGTCACGGGGGTCGAGGCTCATATATATAAGTTTGCCTCAGTCTGTCCCTCGTTCTAAGCCGAACTGAATCCTCTTATATTCTCGAACTAAAAAAAAAAAAAAAAAAAAAAAAGGTGGGCTATACCCCCCACCCCCTAAATTTTTGGGTAATCAGCTAACCAAGGATTCATCAGCTAGGACTAGAACATGGACAAGAATAGCAATGCTAAATCCACCTCCAAGAAGGGCAGCATTTGTCACCAAGTTGATGCTTTAAGTCTTGATGGGGTGGATTACAATATCAAAGGGTTGCCTCTGGAGGAAATTGTTCAAGACATAGCAAACGATATACCGGCGGATGCGATGAAGAAGAAATGGGGATTGGATGAACGCAAGATAAATTGATCATGTCTCAAGTCGCATTAATATCTTTTCCTTCCCACTATTGTTCTGGTAATAGGTCTTCACCTGAGCGATTATGATTTAAATTGATGCATTCGTGCGGCTCCAGATGGAGGAGGAGAGGAAAGAGATACACACACGGTTTAAATTCCAGCCGGTTTACGTAGTGAAGTCATAGTGTAAGGCCTACATATACCGATAATGCAAGTCTATTATGGGATAGGTATGCAAAATGCACTCTATCTCCCCATTAAAGACAACACATTCGGGCCTTTATGAAGAAGGCTGCAGATTTTAGGTTTAATAGTGAATGGTAGGCTCACTGGCCTGAACAGTGAGGCAAGAAGAGTACTGTACTCCACAGAATCACATGCGCCCCAGTGATGCCAACCCGTTTAAACCTCCCACCCGCAGCCACTAAAGCTAATATATAGAGAAGAGCTCCTGGGTGGCGGAAAACTGCTCCTCCTTTCTTGAAATTATCCTGAGCTTCAAAATGCACTCGTGATCTCCATTTCCAACGTGTACAATACCCCACAGTATTTGTTTTCTAAAAGTAGAGCTGAAGTTTGCTGTCGATTACCTCCTCCCCCCCGGCGCCGTCTGTCGCTTGGACCCTGAACATCTGATTCCTGCCATCGTGTAACGGGGGGCCCGCACGCCTAGTGATGCACAACATGGCTACTGCATTGTCGGGTATATTGAAACATGCGGTCGTGTTTACTTATGGGCTCTTCACTTTGATTCTTTACGGACTCACAGCTTTATGGAAGGGGTACTTTTTTAGGGGGTCGACCGAGAAAGAGAACCTGGAGCTGCAGCTGGGTATGTGGTGAATCGTATCGCCCAATTGTGGTTGGTATTTCTCCCACTAACCTGTGGACTTTTTCAATAGCTCGCGATCGCTTCTGGAATCTTTCGAAAACTTGGTCAGGCTTTTCTCACTATTGTATCACCTTGCGAAATGGCTTCAGGTTCCATTATGTTTCTAATGACCTCCCCGGCAACCCCGCAGCTGATAAACCATTGATTATACTTATCCATGGATTTCCTGATAGCTGGGCGGTATGGCGCCACCTGCTTAAATCGAAGGCTCTGCAGGAGGCGGCCACTTTGGTCGCAGTGGACTTACCTGGATACGGTGGTACTGATAGCTTAGAGGAATACTCGTCGACGAACGTGCTGGAAAGCTTGGCAGGTTTTATCATCGCTATCAGGGCAAAGTACAGGATCGATACTGATGCCGGTGCGCGCCAAAGAAGGACCGTGATTGTGGGCCATGATTGGGGCTGCGTCCTTTCCATGCGCCTTGCCGCCGAAGCTCCTCAGTTGGCAGATCGATTTATCTTAAGTAATGGGCCATTGGTATGTATATCTAATGAAAGATGATGCTACCTACTATGGGGCTGACTTGGTCTACAGGTCAGCATGGTTGCCTCCAATATTCGCCGATCGCTATCTTCGTCGCTGAAAATGTTCAAAACGGCCCTGCGTTCTCCAATTAATTCTCGCTCGACGCTTTGCAAAGCAGTCAAGTCGCTGAAGCCAGTTGCCCGCCAGCTACTGCTTTCAGGGTATATATTTGCGATGCAACTTCCCATGCCCTTCGTTGTGTATTTGGGTACAGGTGGCAACTATTCTTTCTTGAAATTGGCCCACAAGGGATCTTATGGAAACTCGCCATTCAGTCTCGAAGATGCTGCTGAGTGTATGGCAAGCTCATTGGGCCCGTCCGTGGAGGAATGCAGAACACAGACGCCTGATGGTGAGGGATACCCTGCTTCCGTTGTAAAGGAGCGCGCCCTTGGCAATTTCCAGCACATGGCCCGTTACTATCGGGAAAAGGCGGCTACTTCGCGCTGGCAGAAATCTATCGAAACGATTGCCGATCTGCACAGCATCTCGGGGGGAAATGAGCTTCATCGAGCTAGTAGCGGGGCTGGACTATTTGACGATGGGCCGACCGGTGTACTGAAAGCCCATTCGACCATTATCTGGGGCAAAGCTGATATCGCTTTGGATCCACAAATGTGCTTAAATGGGTTTTCGGATTATCTGGTCCGTAACAGTCAGGTGGTTGAGCTGCCCCGGTCTGGGCATTTCACCCCACTGGAACGTGAGAGCTGTGCTGCATTGATCCGAGCTGTGGAATGGGCCGCTGGAGGTGAGCAGGAGGAAATCGGAGCTGCGATTCAGAGAGATTACCCGGATGCGGTCGTAACGGTCCGAAAGTGAAAACAAAACGCCTCCCTTGACTGGGAACGGGAATAGTACTAACCTAAGTGGTCGCGATGTCGGGGCTTTGATGTTTGCTCTTTGTGTGCGTTTCCTTATGCTTCTTTGTATGACTGACTGGACAGCGCCGCGGGAGTAAGTAACAAATAACGATGGGCGATAACGGGGGGCAACTATTATGGAAAGATTGAGAGTTTGCTGATGAACGGACATACTTAATGATACCCCTGCATACTAGTAATGAAAACACGGGATCTGAGCGCCCGTGGCACGGGTTCTCGACCGGACTTTTTGCTTCCAAGCTTCCAACTTCTTCCTGCCTCCGTTTACTTGGAGCTTCTCCGCTTTTCCCCTCATCGTCCGATTTCTTTCAATTTCAGGTACCTGGATAAGTAGTCCGATCTACAGCTTGAATATCTACCTTGCTATCACTACAGCTTATGCCTTATACATTTTGCCCACTGGCCGTAATGGCGCGATTGTAATCTGTCCTGGCGGGATGCCGTTCCTACAGCAATCCACTTTTCGTCGGATCCATCATCATACAAGCTTGCTCTTGTTGGCGTATTTTGGTGGGCGGGGTTAGGAGCCCCTAACGTCACCTGCCTCACTGGGAAATCATACATTAATACCCCCAACCTACTTTTGCCGATTCACTTGTTTACATCCAGTTTTCTACCTGTAAAGTAGAATCTCAATTATCGACGGGATGGCTAGTACAGAGGGCGCCGTGTATTGCACGGTATGTTCATACCTTTTCTAAACCCGAAGGACTTTTCACAACTAACATCAATCGCAGCTTCTGTTGAGTGACCACTATCTTCCTGGTAAAACCATGGTATCTCGGCGACTGCCATTATATCTTGTCTAATCGATTAATTGGCCTCAGGCGCTGTCGTACTGGCCCATTCTTTACGCGACAATGGGACGAATGCCAAACTGGTTGTCCTCTACACGCCTGATAGCTTACTACCGGCCACAATTAGGGAACTCCAGGTATGCATCCTGTTCCCTCGGTCACACATCTGGTCTCTGCTGCAAGCATTTTGACTGGAGCCATTTAGTCCGTATACGACGAACTCATACCCGTCCACATAACCTCGAACCACACGCCAGCGAATCTCTGGCTTATGGAGCGACCGGACCTCATTTCCACATTTACCAAGATCGAGCTTTGGAAGCAAACACAATTCAAGCGTATAGTATACATCGATTGTGATGTTGTGGCTGTCAGAGCTCCCGATGAGCTCCTGGCCCTAGAGGTAGACTTTGCGGCAGCTCCCGATGTGGGTTGGCCAGATATCTTCAACAGTGGTGTAATGGTTCTTCGGCCCAATATGCAGGATTATTTTGCTCTGAAAGCGCTTGCTGAGAGGGGCATTAGTTTTGACGGCGCAGACCAAGGGTTGCTAAACATGCACTTTCGAAACTGGCATAGGCTAAGCTTCACGTATAATTGCACGCCCAGCGCAAACTACCAGTACATTCCCGCCTACAAACACTTCCAGAGTACAATCAATCTAGTCCATTTTATCGGAGCTCAGAAGCCGTGGAATATGTCGAGGCAGGCATCCCCAGCCGAATCACCATACGGCCAATTGTTGGGACGATGGTGGTCTATTTACGATAGACATTACCGCCCTGTCACGACGGTAAGCTTCCTTTTGCATTGTGATTGTTGACTGCGGTCAAGCTGATAAATTCCCCAGGTACCAAAAAATGAATGGGTTGATGCGTCTGTCACCCCGGAGCGTAACGTTCAAAGCCATAGAGAAGATTCTGAAACAGTGCCGCCACCTGTGCAACCCGTCTCCTCCATTTCACAAAAGCTGATACCAGAAATTGTCTATGAGCGACCGTTGGAAACGCACACAGAGGTATCATTCGAACACCCTCCTGTCACGCAGGCGCTGCACAGGAGTGACGAGACAAGTGTATATGCGCCCCCTCAGGCGCAGCTTTGCCAGGAGAGGGAACATATACCTGGTCCTGTGGTGACACCTGCTGAGGCAGAGCGACCTATCCAGAAGGAGCATCATGATAGCAAAAGTGTGCAAGTACCGATTCTGAGTGCCGTTCCACAATATGTCCGTGGAGAAGAACATGTTTCAGCGTACATACAGCCACATTATGAAACACCGATTGGCTCCCATGTCGAGCAACCTTCCGGGATGCAAGCCAACATGCCAGTCACTTATTCAGTTCCTCCAGATGCCGCACAATCTCAAGCTTACCAGCAATCAGAGGAACACCCGCCTGAAGCGGGTGAACACTCGCAACACTCGCATAAACCTCCCCCAAGCCCTGAGCCCCAGGAATTTGAGCCCCCGAGGACGCAGTGGGACCCAGCTCGGTGAGTTACTTTGATAATAATTGCAATGGTTAATCTCTGAAGCTTACTCTCCTTAGGGAACCACCACCTCTCAATACAAAACCAGAAGGAATTGCTCTAGAGTCAAAAATATATACTATGTCAGAGGACAAAGAGCTTTTCAAGCCCCCTCCATTTTACCCCGAAGCTCCGAAGAATATGTATTATGAAGTACCTAGCACCAAACCGGAACCAGAGAAACTTAGCCAGATTTTTCCTTGGGAGAACCAGGCCCCCAAGCCGACCCGAGTTTTCGTGGATGACGACCAGCTATCGGTTTCTATACCTAGCTCTTTGCTCTCCCAAATCGCTCCAGAAGAAACTCCCACGTCATCCCTGGGATACACAGCCTCCTGGCCGACCGAGAAACCATCCGAGTCATGGGACAACTACTCCAGGTCAAATGCATGGGATGATGTTCCAGAAATACAGAGATACATTCAATCCATCGCACCACCTAGGAGGGCCAAAGTCCAGGTTATCGGTGGCTGGGATGGCCCTGCGAACCAGCGAACTGCTGGCGCAGTGTCCGGGATGCGGTTAACGGACTTCCCTAGCGAACAAGAGCGGCCCAGTCTCCCCGTCACCCCAGCCCCTATTAGGAGACCACCGCCTTCTTCCAACGTCCCAGACGATGAGTCTACCTCGGCGCAGTTACCCATTGCCGAGGGCGTGCCAAACCAGGAAGAATGGGTGGGTGTCACGGTTGATGTGTTTTTGCATCTCCTGCGAGTGACATACTTATATTGGTACTTCACAGAACCCGTCAACACGCCTCGAGGAACTTCGGCGGCATCATTCTGAAGTTTTAGAGAACCCGGATCTACTTCTCGAGCGGATCCAGAGAACAGCAAGGGAACGTATGCGTAGGTATCCATAATGAAGGAAAGAAGATGATTCAGCCTTCCGGGCTCACTCTGTTTCCGGTTTTCATATTTCGTCTCTGTTTTTATCACTACTTCCACTGTATATTCCTATTGTACAGTATGTTACGTATATGAATCGCCCTGTCATGCAACATGCATGAAGGTCAAGTTGTCCATGTCTTTTTTGGGTAAGAAAGGACATGTTGGCTAGCAGCAGTTGACTATGTAGCATAGCACGATTGTGTATGTCTCGCCTGAATACTTCTGAATACTCCTGAATAAAACCTCATTCTTTGGGTCACGTATCCTACAACCAGCACTCTGAAAGATATAAGCATTTGACGCCAGAAGAAAGAAAATGCCAATCGACTATGTACACAAGGCTATAGTACAATAAGAATAGGTAATGATACATAGAGACTACCACACTACTGCAGACGACTATATCCGCAAAGCGAAACATCTCTTCCCTCGGATTGAATAGAAATTCGACTGTTTGATATGAAACGCCTTCCCCGTTTTCTCGTCGAAAACACTAAAGCCATACGTCGCAGCATTCGGCGGCGTATAAAGATGCAAGGAGACAGCAACATTGTCCGGGTCGGGGTTGGATATCTTATGGAGGCCCAACTTGTCCGACATATACGTGACCTGGTTCTCACAGTACGTAGTTTCCCTCTTGATCTGCGGTGGAGAAATCTGTCCATGCTCGAGCTTACTTTGATCGGGCCATGAATACAACGTCTCCTGCAGGGATCCTTTCAGAACCTAGTACGTTTGAATTAGCCTAACCAATCCCCCCCCCCTCATCCTTCCCTTGGAAAAGACAATATGCGAGAAACAAGAAAAAGAAAGGATAAAGGAATACTCACCTTCATAACACAATGCGCATTCGCATGATCATGGATAGCGCTTCCTTTCCCAGGACTCCATACTAGAATAAGCTTTGACAGGTCATCAGCACGTGAGGGAACTTTCATGCATGTAGAGCTAGCTACATGTGATTGATCTATGGGAGGGCGGCCGCACGAGGCAGGAAAGCAAACCCATGACTCACCAGATTGCTTTTGCCGTTGCCTTCGTCGATCAGATTCCTCGTGTAGGTCTTGCTGAGATCGGGCAGGGCGAACGGCTGCCATTCTTCTGCGTTGGAGGTATACCGGTCCATTAGACGCTGGATGGTGAGCGGGTCGACATCGTCCGAGTCCAGACCCGAGCTCGGACCCAGGGCTGCACTTAGGTCTTGGACTAGCTGTTCGAAGGCGTTGCTTGCTTGGTTCGTGGCTTCTGGGTCTGGGTCTGGTTGGAGGTAGGGCATTCTTCTCTTTGGGTCTTTCTCTCCTTTTTTGTCTTTTATTTTAGCTGTGTTTGTTTTTGGCGGGACTGTTGTATTTGAGGTGCGGTGTTTGGGTATGTATGCTTTTGGGAGATTAAGTGTTTTTGATGATTGGTGGTTGATGGGGCTTCGAAGATTGACGATCGATGTATGCTGGTTTAGCCAAATATAAAAAGCCGTAGAGAGAAATATGTTTTCAATGTCCAGGTAAAGCTTCGCAATGATAGACGGTTGTATATCCCAAGCCATGTGCTATGGAAGAACATGTCCGATAACGCGCTTGCCACCCGAGGATAAGCGTGGATGCCTTGTTTCCGCCTGAGGCCACAGTCCCCGCCCATGTGATCAGTGATTGCTCTCGTTCTTTCTCCGCCCGACTAACGGGCGAATGAAGTGGCGGCCACAATTTCAAAGATTGAGACTCTGCGAAACACCAGTGCAAAACGAGATACGATCATCTTGGGGCTTCACCACAGCGCGGCCGGTGTGAGATAGAAGCTAGAACGTGTATAGGAGCACGGAACTTTGTGACTTATTTCTTATTGTATCTGAATATATTGTGCCTTGTGCGAGGGGTAAAACTCGTATAAAACCGCCAAAATGTCGACCACCGTGGAGAAGGTTGGATTCCGCCCATAGTCTTTTTAAAGCATTTATTAGCACTGTTCTTCCGATAATGACAGAATTATTATGCTGACTGGTCATGCGTACTGTAGATCAAGCAAATCGAAGATGAGGTTCGTGTCGAAATTTATAATGCGATACTTTGCCCGCCAGAATGCCGGACTGACCGATTATTCAGATGGCCCGGACGCAGAAGAACAAGGCGACGGCCTTTCATATTGGTATGGGAAGATGCAGGTGCTAGGTGGTCTCGGACTGGTGTGACTGACGGGCAGTGCAGGACAATTGAAGGCTAAGCTTGCGAAGCTAAAGCGTGAACTTTTGACCCCAACCGGCGGTGGTGGCGGTGGAGGTGGTGGTAAGTGCTTATGAATAACATACCCTATTGACTTGAGCCTGCTCATTAACTCGGTGACATTTAGCTGGTTTCGATGTTGCTCGTACCGGTGTTGCTAGTGTGTATGTATTGGGGACGACATTGCTAGGACGACGTTGATATTGACTCGAACTAGTGGTTTCATTGGTTTCCCTTCCGTCGGAAAGAGTACCCTGATGAGCAGATTAACAGGCCAACACTCTGAAGGTATGTCCGGTATATTCTGGCGCAGTCTTGACAGGTGCTGATGAATTCCTTTACCCTTGCTATAGCTGCGGCCTACGAGTTCACAACCCTGACGACCGTGCCTGGCCAGGTTCTATACAACGGTGCTAAGATCCAGATTCTCGACCTTCCCGGTATTATTCAAGGTGCCAAAGACGGCAAGGGTCGTGGTCGACAGGTTATTGCTGTGGCGAAGACTTGCCACCTGATCTTCATTGTGCTCGACGTTAACAAGCCGCTTGTCGATAAAAAGGTCATTGAAAATGAATTGGAAGGTTTCGGAATCAGAATCAACAAGCAGCCCCCTAATATCGTCTTCAAGAAGAAGGATAAGGGTGGTATTGCGATTACTAGCACTGTCCCCTTGACGCATATTGACCATGACGTGAGTTCTCATCATATCTATGGGTTGAATATGAAAAATAGCTGACATGTGCTTTTCGACGCGGCTTCCAGGAAATTAAAGCTGTCTTGGGCGAGTACAGGATCTCTTCTGCAGATATTTCAATCAGATGCGACGCCACAGTCGATGACATTATCGATGTTCTTGAGGCAAAGAGTCGGGCATATATTCCTGTCGTATATGCGTTGAACAAGATTGACTCTATCACGATCGAAGAGCTGGACCTGCTTTACCGGATTCCCAACGCCTGCCCCATCAGTTCCGAGCACGGCTGGAACGTTGATGAACTGCTGGAGATGATGTGGGATAAGCTCAACCTCAGGCGAGTCTACACTAAGCCTAAGGGAAAGGCACCCGACTACACTGCACCTGTTGTGCTGAGAGCCAACGCATGCACTATTGAAGATTTCGTATGTTTCCTTTTCCCTATGGCATCCTGTCACAAGAGCGCAAGGCGGTTTATTGACTCGTGATCAGTGTAACTCGATTCACCGGACGATCAAGGATCAGTTCAAGCAGGCTATTGTCTATGGCCGCTCCGTTAAGCACCAGCCGCAGCGTGTGGGTCTTACGCACGAGCTTGCAGATGAGGACATTGGTCCGTAAATCCCTGGCCCCTGAACATCATAAGGAGCTTCCCAGCTAACTTGGCGACTACAGTGACCATTATTAAGCGGTAAATAGCTCTAATCAACCAAGGTTCTTTGGACCGCGTAAGAGCGGAGAACTTGGTGGCGAATCGTCACGAGGTAAACGGGTTGTGTTAGAAGTGTTTCGCGAAGTATACATGTCCAAGAGGCCCAGCCCTTGGGGCAGCTTTCGGCGAGATGCCATAGAACGTTTGATTGGGGAAGAGGATGGTTCGCGCACGGGCAGCGCTCTGCCGACTACCGCCTGGGTTTGCACGATCACTCGTTTGGGATAGATGACTGAATCATGAGATAGTCTGTTCAGCACTGCTACTCGTGGTGATGCACGGTCATTTTTGGGGCAATCCTGTTTAAGGGGACGAGGAGAGACAAGAAAGTTGACGCTGAGAATCTGGAATAGGGTTTATGGTTCCGCAGTACGAACAATTTCTCCTTTCCATTTTGTGTTTTTTTTTTTCATTTTATTTTCTCCGTTCTCGTTGAAAGCGACCACCACTTACATGCTTTTCTCCCGACGGTTGGTCTAGAACTTATGGCTGAGACTACTAAAAAAGTTAGTAGCAACAAAATTAGAACGATTGACAGAGTTGAGAAAGCTCCGTCCGGTTCTTTTGCTTCCAAGGATCCAAGTGTAGCACTGTCCTCTGGTTTACGCGATCATCGCGTGCAAGTAAAGATAATTCTTACACATGCGATGGAGCTTGAAGACTTCTGGAGGAGATTCCCCTTTCGGATCAATTGGAACATATGATGTCAGATTGCGTAGCTGGTAGATTGCTGCTACCTTAGTAGCTGGGCGAAGGTGACCCACCCCTATACAGCTTGGGGACAGACTTTCCAGAGGCACTTTAGCGGGATCGAGTAGTATTGCGATCCTGTTGGGTGGCATGTTTGTCTGAAACGGGTGTGGTCCAGAGATATCCATGAATTCTTCCCCACAGAGATGAAGAAAAGAAAGGGTTGCAGTCTGGTCGTATCCATGGCGGAATCCTAAACTGAAGTATACCATGAAACCCCCATCGACGACGAATCGGCAGTGAAGTGCCGCCATGACGGCCGACGACGGGATTATTAGTCGTCGTAGGCCCGAGTGTCAGTGTATATCTCTGCGACTAATCATGCGCCTGCAGGTGCAGGGTCCGGGGTTGCTCTGCTCACGGGCGCATTATGCATCCCCTTTCTGTCCTACTACTAGTACTCATTCTCTTTTTCTGATCTCTGATTCGACCGAGTATATTATTACCGGTACTGACGGGTTACGACGCAGGAGGGGTAGTCGTATTTCCATACTAGTACTCGGTAACAGGTACTAATACCCAACCTTTTCTTGTCTTACATGATCCGTATCCGACAAGTTCCTGTCAATTTGCAGATGTTGGCAGTAATGGTCAGGTCTTAACTTTTGCATCTGGATTTCTATCCACTTATGGAAATGTCTCGTTCTCCCTTTCCATTCTCGCGGGTTGCACTCGGCACTTGACTTTATAGTATGGGGGAGTACATACCACCCATTCAGTGATCGCGTAAAAAAAGCCTACCAGCTCCCTTACATTCCATGTTTCCATGTTACTCTGCCGGTTCCGCCGGACAGATCCATGGATCCTACCAGCCCAACAAAACTTACCAGGCGAATTCAATTGAATAATAATGAAAACAATAATAATAATAATAAATGATAATAAAAAGGAAATTGGGAGGGGAAGGAGAAAACTTGCAGAGATTTATCGTTGACACCACCAATCATGGCTCTTATTTGTCGAAATTGATAATGCACGCTGGGACTTTTTTCCTCGGAGTATAGTACCTACATACACATCCATTTGGTATGTACTTAACGGAGATACCCTGTCTATAATTAACCGTCAGCGATATTATTTAGTTATTTTTTTATTGTATTCTATGAATTTTTTTTTTTTTTTTTTTTTTTTTTTTTTTTTTTTTTTTTTTTTTTTTTTTTTTTTTTTTTTTTTTTTTTTTTTTTTTTTTTTTTTTTTTTTTATTTTTATTTTTATTTTATTTTATTTTTTTTTTTGGGACAAGCGGTCTGCGCGGGAATTTCAAGCTCGGTCACTCTACAACGTTGTATTTGTCTATTTCCCAGCTCGCTGGACTATACTTCTTCGAGGGGTTTCTCCCTCGAACCTTGATTCATGCACTCATTGAGTTGCGTGTCGTACAGGGCGGTGTTCAGTGGTCAAGTAGCACTGATTCGGGACGATTAAAAGATTGGCTCTATACCTGGATGGTGCGCTATTAAACGCCCTGAATCCTGACCTGGTGGCGAGGGGCAGAGGAGGTTCGTCGAAACAATAATGTTAACATTAATAATCATAGTCCAGATTTTAAGAAAAAGAGGAGAAAAAAAAAGGATCAACCAAGGTCAAAGTAGAGCCGTAGTGGCCGCGTGGAGACAAGTACACAGGCAATGATGATCAGCGAAGATACAAAAGAGTGCAATGAGGGTCGTGTCTGAGCAAGTTTTGTGCCTGATAGGTACTCGTGATTGGTAGCATAACTCGGCTTTTGCCCTGAGATCTGATGTTCTCCAATGCTAACTAATGCACAGCCTCAACGGATTGACCAAGTTGCTAGTACTATGTCTGAGAGCTCGTTATTTCATAAGGTGCTACTGTTTGTCTTAGATGAAGAATCTGAGTGAAAATCTGCTTGTCAGATGACAGTAGATGCGTGTTTCTACCACCACACTGTCTGTAGTATGCGAGGAAGTGGAGGCTGCATACGTCTCTTCCTTCTTCCTTCAGGTGGCCCTCATATCTCTAACTGTCGGTGACGGCTTAGTACTCGGGATCTTCTTTCTTCGTTTTTTCTTTTTTTCTTTCTTTCCATTTTTTTTTCTCTTTTTTTTTTTTACATGTTTTCCTTCCGCGCTCCTTGTATCATTTTTAGCATGGATATCGCGGATCCTTCGAGGCAGCCACATGACAGCCACTGTCTGTGGTCAATGAGTTGTGACTGTGCTAGACAAAGAATGCTCCCAAAGGCTGGTATATACTAATTTGTTGGGAACGTGATGCTGGAGATCTGATTGCTTAGCTTCAATATATCCTGGTTCTAAGTACGAAGTACGATCCATAATACTGCCTATTTCCTCTACATACATAGGGGTCCCAGAGAAACAATCTCTATCCCCACAACGCTCGGATCTGGAAGTTGCTCGTACTACACTATCGAAGTGGATATTGCCTAGGCTTTCGATACGATACTTGCTTCGATCGGATCAGTTTTCAGCTCTACTGATGTCATACTCTCTTGGGTTAACTGATGCAAATCTGAGCTCGGACATCTTCCGACAAGGGCCTTGCGGGCGTATATCGCCATTGCTCCTGCATGGAAGGCCTCACGTACCCCGTACCACTATACAAACGTCAGAGCTACGATACACCGGAGTATTGTGTACCTTGAGGTACATCTCTACGTATTTGGGGGTACCTTGACATGACACGTCCACGGCTGATATCCAAACGAGCGATCGGACATCTGCACTGCCCTTCGTACCTGACAGATCTCTATTATTGGCATTCATACAACGGTAAGGCTATCATAACGCCATTTCTCGGATTAGGGCTTGTTCGGCGTCGCACCACCCGGCCCTTCGTTCCAGTTTCAGTCATTCTCAGCCAGATTGTTATTGATCCACTAGCAATAGTTTGCTTTTAGTTGCAAAATTCCAATTCTTTTACTATTTCAAACCCCATCCCAGGCGGATTTATTGACTGATCTAAATATCCTTGAACAAGTCAAGGGGGGAAAAAAAAAGGCGCGAAAGAATTACAAAAAGGTAAAGAGGGGCAATCTCTCTGCTTACACTAGAAGCAATGGTGTTGACTCCAACCCATGGTCTCGACTTCCCATGCTAACTCTTTCCTGCATCGGGTAGCGATTTTCTGTTGGCCGCTGGCTTCCCCAGCCTCTCAGCGACGAGAAACGGCAGACCGATTGGAATACCGTGGTCACGTTGCTAATTCACGGATAGTGACTCAAATTATGAAATCTTCCTCCACCTCTTAGTTGGTTATTTTGTTTTTCCCCCCATCTTTAGTTCGTCGAGAATAGGGTCCACATTGGGTGAGCTACAGTGCGGAACGCGGGTGTCATTTTCCTCTTCGAACCCTATCTCTACCAGCATTGCCTACTATTCGATCACAAGGGCGCGTAGCAGGCGAGTGGATCCAAGAGAAGAAAAAGAAAAAAAGAAAAGAAGGTGAGGTCTAAGCTGGGAATCTGACACAGTATTACATACAATAACTTAGTCTTGACAGCCCTCGTGGTTATCCGAACAAGCGGGGCGGATGGATGATTGATGAAAAATTAGTGCTGCACCGATCACGTTTTCCGCGCTCCCCGTCCCGTACTCTCAACTACTTAGGGTAGGTCACTAAGACAGGGCCATAGTATGTTGTGGTTAGTACGGAGTACATCATGTACAAAGGCGATCTCCTTCGAAGGGGCCAGCCCTGGTAAGGCTGTACAATGCATTAATGAACGCCGCATCCCGTAGAGCATACCCGGGTCGCACCTCCAGCATGCATACCAGCCGTACCCTTGTACCGCAATCATCCGTCAATGACTTTCCGCCAGAAGTCAAGCAACCAGTCAGACGGATTGTTCCAATGCAGTACCATCCAAGAACGTACCGTCTGGGCATAGGGGTGTGTTCCGATGGCGAGTCAGGAATGCTTGGGGGGTTGAACCTAATAATCACAAGAGGCTAAACTATAACGATTAGGGTCAGTTCGACTGCTAATTTCTAACCCCCGAATAACAACGTCCGATCATTATCTGCATATCTGGAGCTAACTACTAGGACTAGTAACTACTTCCTACGACTAACCTTTTCACATAGATGACAATTAATTAACCAATCCATTCGCCAACCTCGAAATTGGCCACTTTCTTTCTTTGCCCTCACACTAATTAATGGGCGCGCACTCCACTCGTCCGTCTCCTTTTGTCCCTTTTGGTCAATCCAAATTGGTCTCGTTTCCAAAGATTTGCATTGCTTAGGTTGCCGGCCCGGAGTGGACCGCTGCGGGCCCCGTGGGGTCCTAGCTCCTCACGCCCTCCTGTTAGTAGTAGTAAGGACGAAGTACTCGCCTGCTCAAAGTGTACCGTGGTCGAAGTAAGTTATCTAGTCGTGTTAGACGAACCGAAGCCCCGAACCATGCCGCTGCTACTTCTTATGATAGGACGAACCCTCCTCTTCAGTCTTTGCTCAGCCCATGTCACAGAAAATAAATTGGAATCACTTTACGGCAATTCATTGGCTGGCAAAACCATCTCCTGACGTTTTTCTCGTGACAAAGTACGATGCAGATCGGCCTGGCGCTGCTACCACTGGTTGATTATTTGGATTAATGAGGTCCTGATCCTTGACCTAGGAATGACTGGCTCTCCCCAAAGTGAATCTTGCTTTCGCATATTTCTTGTCGCTTTGCGAAGGAGAGCATCCCCGAAGTAGCATAGCGCCTTCCTACCCAAAGTTGACACCGCCGAAAACCATTTGTTGAAAGACTAGTCAAATGAGGCTTCATCATCGCAAATTGCTACCGAAAGATCTTCCTCTTTCTGTTGTTGATTCAACACCAATCCATGGTCAAGCGTACGATGTTGATAGTTACTGCGGGTCACTCTGTCATCCTGGATGTGTGTGGCAAGGTATTTCTCTCCTCGCTTTCTCACTTTCCATTTCTCCATTTTTCTATTTTTATTTTTAATTTTTTTTTACCCCCTCAAAGCTCCACGTTCTCACATGTGGCCGGCACTATAGGAACGATCGAAGGGACGGGGGAGCTCGGTACCAAACTATGAAGATACTTATTACTCACTGCGGAGCTTATGATGGAAAGGAGGAAAAAAGCCGTTGGGCCTTTCCCAGATGGTTGTCGGTCGCCAGTCTAGTCGGAAATCTTCGCTTTATCTCTAAGGTATGTCATGCGGGCATTTAGGTTCAGCGGTTTATCGATCCGTTCCCCGTCCGTGAGTATGATCTTGGCTTGCTGAGAGGAAACTCTTACTTCCGTATATGATTTTCGTCTGAGGACGATCGTTTCTGCGAGGAAACCGTGGATTACCCACTTGAGATTTCTCCCGCGAGGTGCTACAGGATCGTCCGGCTCGAGGAAGATTGTCTAACGGAACGGAGAGAATCATTGACAGGAACCCCGAAGGAGCGAACGAAAAAGCAAAACCCGCAGAAAAGGGAGAAAAAAAAAATGGAAAAGGAAAAGAAAAAAAAGAGAGAAAAAAGAAAAATTCAAGGGAAAAAAGGAAAAGGAATAGGATGCGCAGTATGTACTCTCTCCCCTCTCTCTTTTTTTCCCGCTTTTCTTTTTACATGTCCTGGATTGGATGTTGCTTTTTCTTGTATTTTTGTTTTATTTTCTTCTCCTCTCGTCCTTTCTGGCATCTCCGCTCCACCTCCAGGCTGCAAATCAGGTACCCAATTTGCTCCCACAATTTTTGCCTGGAGTATACCAGAATAGGCAATTGTCCAAGTTACCCGATTCTCTCATTTATCTAGACTTTTGGTGTAACACCTTGGAAATTTCCGCAGTGCGAAATTCCATCTATCATAACATCAAGTCAAGCTCACATAGAGCACAAGTCTTACTATTCCCAACCGCGTTAGCCATCTGGTAGGAAACATTCATGTCACGGTTGATACAGTATTCAACCTGAGCGTCGTATGAGCCAGTACGAGGTTTAGCGGTATTCGGGCTCGACAGATATCCCTGTCCTTGTAATCTAGCCCACAACCAATCAGGGGCGGATACCCCCACCATTTCCAAGAGTATTCTTGTCTTTCATTTTTTTACTTTTTGAGCACTGTCCAATCACCGTGCAAGTTTTAGTCTTTTTATTTGTATGGTACGCTATCTGGCCTGTCCCGTCGGTCGTAGCTCTTCGTGTCTGTCAATTATTACCCTTGTTATTCCAGAATTGATTTATGTTATTTATTTTTCTTAAGTTTTATTATTATATTATTATAAAAAAAAAATTTTTCTTTTTCTTTTTTTTCTAAATGAATTCTTGACAGGCACCAAATAGGCAGTGCTAAAGATGGTCCTGCCGAAATGCAAGACCTGGTCCTGGTCGACCATCGAATCAGGTACGACTTGCTTGGACTGGAAAGGCCAGTCGCAACCAACCACAGGGCCCAGATGAAGAGGTACATCCTTTGACTCCATCCCATCCATACTTACCTCGTCAGTACGGAGTATACATCTATCTTCTTCCTTACACTTTCTCCTTCTCCTCCATGATCCTTATTTACTACTCGCTACTTCTTCCCTGATCGTCCCTGGGCCTGTGTCCCGGTCTGACCCTTTTTAACTCCGTTTTATGTCTTTTTTGCCTTACCCGCACCCACCATTGCCCCTCCGTTCATTTCGTTTCCCCCCTGTACCAAAAAGAATAATATAGTCTGCATGCTTCTTCTCGTTGTGCGCATACATTCGGTTGTGGGTGACTCGGGTTAGATATCAGGCATCCAGGCGCTGCCGGAACTCCTCCCTCGTGGGAACCGCCTTGTTGCTGCTCCAAATCGGCACATATCTACTACTACTACTCTTACTATTTTCACGGCAGCTTTGTGTAATCGCATATTCTTTGTGCTGAACATGCATCCTCATTTATACTATTCTTGGATGTAGAGAAGGTCCAACTTTCTCAGATAGCTCGCCTTACTTTTTTCCTGCCCATTGACCCCGATTGTCTCCTTCGCTTTCTTTATATCGGTTGACGGCCTGGTTGAAGCCTGTCTTAATACTGCCGAAGCCACTCCCAGAGTAGCTTGCCCCCTTTCGTTTCTCCTTTCTGCATCGTGCTCTCATGATATTCCTCGCCTCTGCTGCAATGGACACAGAGAGCACACACGCCCAAGATAACGACTATACCCAGTCGCCTTGGCTGGATTTGGGCGGTTTCAGCCCTTCGCAACAGTCACCACCGCTTGATTACCATGGGTTTGGGTACGGCATGCTGCCTTTGGAGTCGGCGTACGGGGTATCTGTACCACCCCCGTATGCATCACTCCCATTAACTATGCCCTCGAATACGTGGCCCAGTATGATGTCGACTCACCCTCAGCTCCCTTTTCCAGAGGGAAGCGTGCCGCCTGTACCCATACCAGCAGCGGTATCGCCAGTCACACATAATCCACCACCGCCGCCGCCTCCACCGCCACCGCCTCGCAAGTCATCAACGAGTAACTCGACACCACGGAGGACGCTTACGGATGATGATCGTCGGCGTATGTGCCTGTATCATGAAGAGAACAAAACCGCCAAGCAAACAGACATTGGAGGTCAGTTTTCACGCTAATCTCTTCTCTTCATGTAGATCATGACTGACATAACATGCACAGCGATATTCGGAGTGGAACGAAGGTAATAAATCCACGCAATCCCCTCTGATCCTGATTTGAGTAAATCCTGTTCTGACACGTTATCCATCTGTTAAAGTACGGTGTCGAAAGTGCTCCGTCAGAAAGAGAAGTATCTCAACCCCGATGATGGAACACGTTCCCCCATCAAACGAGCCAAGGGAAGAGTGCCCGATATAGAAAAGGCTCTTTCTAACTGGGTGAGAAACTACCAGCGTCACGGCTATCCTCTCAGTGATGAGATGATCAGGGAAAAAGCTCTCTTCTTCGCCAACACATGTGGTAGTTCCGATGGCAAAGAAAAAGTGCTGAGCACAAGCTGGCTGGAAAAGTTCAAACATAAAAATAACTTGATGGGTTTGAAATCCCGCAAAAGCTCTTTCAGCGCCAAGAGTGAACCGGAAAGCCCCAGGCGTCTGAGTATAAACTCGGCGATAGCATCTGCCATACAGTCACCCAGCGTCCTTTCGCCTATCTCTCCCACGGGGTTTGCTACCCCTTCACCGTTGTCACCCACCCAGAGCCAGGAGAACTTCGGGCCAGATAGTCTATGTGATCTTCTGGGAGATTATCAAAACGCGCACACTACAAGCACCATCTCTATTGATACTACATCTTCTGTCTCCGCCAGCGTGACCAGTCCAACATCAACACTAGTAGCAGACAGTCCCTTCACTCCCGCTAGTCAATCACACAACTCATCTCTGGATAACAATTCGACTAGACCACGGAGCCAAACGTTCCCTTTCATTGGCGTCGATCCCAGTGTGCTGTCGCCTGATGAGCAGCCTGATCAGCTTTCGCCTAAGACTGGACCGCAGCAAGCCACTTTACAAGAATCACCAATTATGGATGAGTACAACCCAAAGGCTATTCCTAGCCTCGATACATCGTCCAACACAATCAAGCGCAACCGGAGCAATCCGGAAATCAAGGCGAAATCAATTTATCCACCACTGTTTCCGAAATCAACTACAGTTTCGCCTGTAAGCTCACCTGGATCACCAACCCAGGATGAAGCTCGGAGGGCCCTAGAATTGGTGATGAACTATTTCGAGCACCAACCCACCGGTCTAGGAGCTCAAGACTACTTAACCATTGGAGGGTTAATGGAAAGGTTGGAACTCGCAAAGTCCCAACAGACTACGCTCCCTGGGGGTCTTACTCGCATTGATGAGCATGATGACGGTCCACATTTACACAAAAAGCGAAGTATTCGCAGCCTTGGTTAATATCTTCCGTTGGGCCATACTTCATAAGATCAAATCACCATAACGTGGGAGTATACGACCTACTATTTCCTAGCAGTTAACTAACTGCAGACGATTTTAATTCTTACTGGCTCTATTATATGTTTTCACATTCCCCCCATCTTGATGCAGCATTTTTCCCTTGTCCTTGCTTTTTGGGTGGCTTTTTGTACTTGAACTTATTGCATCTATACGCCATGCTCGATGATTCCCTGTTTCATTAAGCCAACACAACAGTTTCTGAGGTTCATGTGAAAAGCAAAATCAGAAGATACACATGTGAAGAGGGCGACCTCGATTGTATTCAATCACTGATTCTGATCCTAGCAGATGGCATGGCATAGCTCACAGTCCATCGGTGGAGTATGGTTTTTATGGTGCATGGACTTAATGGGTTTATTCTGGTATCATTACTCTTTTCTATTTCTTGCTCTTTCCGCCGTTTCCTTTTTCCCCCTCACTTTTTTCTTTTTCTTTGTCTGTATTCGAGACTGTTCAGACGGAACAAGCATCATCTACACTGGAATCGCTCACGCGAAACTGCATGGGACCATTATTATCACTACATTCATCAGCATTTAGGGTTTTCGGACGGATCGGAACGAGTACATGCAAAACTATGGGCTATCATTCGCATGGTGTGATTTTTGGAATTTTTTCTATTTGATTTTTATTTATGTCTCTCTTCCAAGGTTCCATTACTGTTAATTTCTCACCGCAATTTCTGCGTCATTTTTCCTTGATCTAATTCCTTGTACATTTCTTCCAATTGACGCACTGTGCCTTGTCCCTGGCGACAAAAAATGGGGCTTGCATGGTTTGACCGATTAGGTGCATTTCATTGGGCTCTTCGTGCCTTAGGTGCCTCACTTACATACACCCTGCCTGCATCTCGAACCCCGCCGTGAGCCAACGCCACCTGTTAATTGTTCTGCAGACGACCTTCTTATTTTTTTTTTTTTTTTCCCTTTCCCACCTTCTCAATTCTTACGGCATACGATGGATTACATTGTAATAATTTCTAACGTATTATATTGTGTTAATTTCGTCCGTTAACCCCTGAGCCCTCAATGCAACGGGACAGGGACAGGGCTTTCGTTGCAGGTCACATTTTGTGACCCCGAAGAAGGGAACAGAATATGCATGAACCGAACGAGATCCATGAATACCGACTGGAGGCCTGAGACCCTAACCAGGTTTGATAAGGTTATCGGTCTACCAAAAATATCATTCTCTGTTGCGCAACACGACTCTCATTTTAGCCGAGGCTGTGCCTGTGCCTGTCTCTAATGCGATTGATCTATTGTTCTAAAACTTCTGCCCAAACGGATCAGGGTTCACTAAGCTATTGTTCACTCTCGGTGAGATGGCCCTATATTATATCTCTCTGTTGTTATTATATTCTGTCGGTTTAAGTGGGTTTCAGTCGCTGTCTAAAGACACGCCCCGGTCTTCCATCAACTCTGTTAAGCTGCGTTCCGATAGCTCGGGGAGAAGCCTTGCTAGGACGGTTTCAATGATCGAGTAGATTAGATGTTTATTGCAATACTCATCGGCGAATAGATCCAGGAGGTCGTTCTCAATTGCCACGAGAAGGAGCGACTCTTCCAGATCATCGTCTGATAATGGGTCAGGTGATAAGGCACAAACTGGTTCCGAATGTTGGTAGTTCTGTGCATTGGGAGCCTTGAAATGCTCTTGGCGCTCAGGGGGCGTTTGTCCAATGACAATTTTCGCTGGAACACCCAAGAAGCGCTGCGCAATGGGACGAGGGACCAATGACAGGATGCTTACCGCGCACCTTCGCTTGATAGAAGCGATTTCGGCCGCGGTAGGACGCTGTTCCGGCGATAAGGAAGGCGCAGTCGCGGAAATACTAGTCGTTAAGACGCTACTGCTGGCGTTAGTTGCGCCAGCGGCGTCGCTAGGCGGGCTCATTTCCGAAGGGGACGCTGGCGGTTGTGCGGGCAAATGCGGAGCCGGAGCGCCGTCTTGGTTCGCGCCGGCCGCCTGAGTTGAGCGAGCATTTGAAGGGAAAAGTGCCGCCCTGGACGCGCGGAGGAGATTGGGCAATAAGGTGGGGGTCAAGACATGATTCTGAATGGTCTCGTGGAGGAACCTAGTGGAGTCAACCATGAAAATTTTTTCGGGCCAGGGTTAGCCAGACGCTCCAAACGAGAGACACGAAAATCAGCAACAGTCAGATTGCGCAACACAGACAGACGGAGGAAGGTCGGACATGGTAAGCGGTCGAACCCCAGACTGTGGAGAAGCGGTTCAGAGTATCAAGGTCCTTTGCCTAGAAAGGAAGTTGTGTAACGCCGAATGAAGGGAGGGTCACTCATTGCCGCGAAGAGAAAAAAAAAAAAGTCAAACAAAGACAGGAAGAATGGCTGAGTGGAGACCGAATGCGATCGGCTTGGCCAATGTGAGGAGCTTGGGCCATCGATTGGTGCGATTAACAAGGGCCCAATGCTGAAGATGACGACAAGTGGAAAAGGCGGCGAGACTCCCACTCGTCATCTCGCACGCATCCCCAAGAGCAGGCATTCTTTCCGAGCCGTACCATAGGCTTCATAAGGCCGTCTAAACACCGGTGACCGCAGCCGGGATTCGAATTCAAAATCTTCCCCGCGAGGTATTTCGCTGATTGGCTCGAAAATTAAGGAAGGGAAGCGAACTTCACCCTATCCATGTCAATCCCTCGAAGTCGCATGGCTGTTTCTTCAACCAATCTTAGGATGATCGCCATGATTCATTTCATGTATCATCCTTTAGCGTTGGTCTATGAACGGCGAACTCAAATGCGCCCTCTTTTCGGGAATAAGGATTAACGGATGACCTTCCTTGTCGTTGGAGGTGAAGCACAACACCAATAGCATTGTCAAGTCCATTGAAGGCCATGGGATTGTCTCCCCATCGTTCCTTTCTTTTCTCATACTTCTTTTTTGGGCTCTTCCTTTCTTTGAGGCCATTGTTCGGTGGATAATGTTTCCAGAATGCCGGCGTTGCACGGATAATGGAGTCGAGCGGGACGGAAAGGGACGGGCCAGCCCATTCAGAGTTGATTGACAGGGGAGCGGACACGTTCTTCCACTTCGGAATGGCCGAAGCCCCAGCCAATTTCGGGCAGGGAGTGACCTGTCAACTCCAAACCTTCCGGCCGTAGTTTGAGAGGACAGGCGAGAAAAGGGGCGAAGAGTATGACGACTATCATCATATCATCATCATAATAATAATAGCATCACGCTATGATGATAGGCTCATCGTTATGGAGTAATTCGGCGGTAACTCAAATACGAACACGGTAAGTTACCAGTACGCGCCGGTCACGCCTCGTAATGACAAGAAGGGTCGTGCATGGGCCCAGTGGGCGAATCAGGACCAGAAACTGGGAAAACGAAAGATGGCCTGTGCATCCACACCCAGATCAAGTGATCGTTGCAGCATGCGAGCAATGCGCATCAGTTGCATCGTCGTCCCGCTGGGCTTCTTGACCATCTTCCAATGACTCGTCTTAGATGCCCTGACAGAAAGGGTACTTTCCAGTACCAGCGTCGATCATGGTTCGGATATCGAACCGTACCGTACCGCTTCTCCACAGCTAAAGTTCCCACCCTCCTAAAGTTACCCCATCTCATCTGATAAACCCGCGATAAGAAGCACGGGTGACTTGGCGAGAATGAGAGAAAAGGGAAGGGAAAATTGAAAAGCAAAAAAAGACACTCAAAGTAAATGTACAACTCACCTGTCAAGAACACTATCAGTGTCACCTATTCGACCTGGACCCGCCAAGATCAAGTGTTGAAAGAGTGCGAGCAGCCCTGCCAACCATGGCATCCGCCGGGGAATATCTAGTAGTTGCGAAAGCATGCCGTACAGTCCATAATTGAGAACGGGACGCTTCAGGGGAGGGTTGCATGGAGCGGGCGCCTCGTTTGCGTGACCGGTAAAGGACGAGGACGAGGCCACTGGAGTGGATGCAACGCGAAAAATGCCCGTCACAATGAAACGTAAGGTCACGTAGGCTAGGAAGACGAACTGAAGTATCTTCCACACCCAGTCAGGTACCCTTAATTGGACACTTGACGACGAATGATGTCTCTGGACGTCTTCCTGGGGAGATAGCAGGTCAAACTTTTGTAACTGATTCTTTCTATGTGGTACTGCAGTTGTTGCATCAATCTCATGACTCTGGCGACTTCCCACCACGTCAATCAGATTTGTGACACTCTCCCACAAGAACCACCCCTCACACATCTTCCCACTAACTTGATTTCCAATTATTAGATCTGCCAAGATATCACAAACTAGCGTCCGCAAGCAGGCATTCTTTAAATCCTCTGTTGGCAGAAGCACAGCCAACACCCCACTCACCAATAGCTGTCTATATCTGGCTTCATTATCGACTTGCTGGGTGATGGTGTGGGTATCCGTCGGGTCTGGGATTGGAGAAAGGCCCGGGTGAGGGTTGAGACTATGATAAATCTCGCGAGCAGAGGGAGTAAGACCTGATAGTTGAGGCTGTTCTCTGGCTAGTCTGTACGCTGATTCCAAAGGCTTGTTAGTAAAGATATGGCTCAACCGTCCGAAGATGATAGATAGAAAGAGTATTGTAGCTCCACGCTTACAGATAATATGCGCTTCAACCAAAGCCGGTATCTCGTCCAGAACGAGCTGTGAAACATCAGTGTCGCGCAGTCTCTGTTCCACTGCCCGCGTACAATGCGCAATCACCTGGATAACTTCGTTGACGAGAACCTGATCTGATGTAATTTTTGAATACCAGGAGAAGACAAATTCTTTAATGATAACCGCGATCAAGGCATACAGCTGACAATCCACTTCATTCGAGCTTGTAAGTGGAGGTAACAGTTCTTCCGGGGACTGTAATGTTGATGCGCCTCCAAAGTTACCCGCCTGCGAACATAGGACGCGACGGATTAAAGCGGCAGTTGCCTTGTCGCCCGTCGCGTCAGTCTGAGTATCCCGGCTCGAGGCCTTATGTAACCGGGGTCGATGTGAAGCTCGCGAAGATGGCCGCACATTTGCCGAAGCTGTTGACTTGGAGCTGGATGTTGTCGGCCCAGCTTTGAGATGTGAAAGCGGATGGAGCCCCGGACGAGAAGGCTCGCCGCTCATTTCATTCCAGTGACAGTGTCTATAGATAGATTTCCAAAAAAGAAAAATTGAAACGGTAAGAATATAGCGAATGTGGGATGTCACATCGAAGCCGTTGTCGATAAGACAAAGGGGTAAACGTCAAACACCTCCAATAGTCCAGGACAATCAGTTCTCGGGAAGTTTTCCGGGGAAGCTGCGAATGCGATGACGCTGTTGCTCCACGGGGAGATTCCTCTTTGGGATGCGCTCAGGGCTTAGGGCTTTCTCATATCGATAAGGGGTCCTTATCAGTGATTTTCCCCCGCCATTGTCATCCATGGATCAGCCAACTTACAAGTCCATGAGAATATCTAGCCCCTGAGTACTCATTGAGTTATCTATCCGTGCCTATAGAACGCTGCAATGCACTCGTCATCGGACATCCCTATTCCTCTATGGCTAGACTGCGATCCGGGTAGGTGGATATGGATATACAACCCACTCAGCATGCTAACATAGTTACTCTCAGGCCACGATGTGAGTATGAAATGTTACCGAATGTGTATTTTCATGACCATAAATTAAGACATATCTCTGCGGTATACAGGATGCATTTGCCATTCTTCTCGCTGCCCATCATCCCTCTCTGCATTTATTGGGCATCACTACAGTCCACGGCAATGCCTCTCTGGAGAACACAACCAACAATGCTACAAGGATATTGGAATCCATTGGACGACCAGAAATTCCTGTATATCCAGGTCACAAAAAGCCTTTCTGTCGGCCCGCAATTCATGCTCCGAATATCCACGGTAAGCATCTGCTCTTGCCTGCTAAGCTGGTCAAGTCAGATTCCTAGCTGGACAACAAATGTCTCACACCTTTCTTCAGGCGATTCGGGTATCGATGGAACCGAACTTCTACCAAAAGCTACAACAGCCCCAGTTACAGACAAGAACCCAATTCTGGCAATGCGGGATGCCCTCCTAGCACAGCCGAAGGGAACCCCGTGGGTTATAGCAACGGGGACCTTAACCAACGTAGCTTTGCTCTTTGCGACGTTCCCTGAAGTAGCGGAGCATATTCAAGGCCTAAGTATCATGGGCGGTGGAGTTGGCGGAGGCTTTACGGATGCGCCTATGAGTCGACTCATTGGTGAAGAGTCGAGGATTGGGAATATCACCCCTCTGGCAGAATTCAACATCTACGTACGCACAGCCTTTTTTTTTTTTTTTTTTTTTTTTTTTTTTTTTTTTTTTTTTTTTTTTTTTTTTTTTTTTTTTTTTTTTTTCTTTTCTTGTTAGCCGTTTAGATCTCACTCTAACGTCACATTTATTGCTACAGTGTGACCCAGAGGCATCCCAGTCTATCTTCAGCAATCCTGTTCTCGCTTCGAAGACAACTTTGATCACTCTTGACTTAACACACCAAGTCCTCGCCTCGCGCTCTGTGCAGTCCCGCGTCTTGCATGGAGGCGATGACCTTTCGGTACCTCCAACAGTCCTCCGGCAGATGCTTTTCGATCTTCTTGTTTTCTTTGCGTCAACTTATGAAAATGTTTTTGGATTGACCAGCGGGCCTCCCTTGCACGACCCTCTTGCGGTCGCGGTTATTCTGTCGACTCTCAACCCTGAGTATGCAAAAAGGCATCCCGATCGGGTCTTAAAGTTCGACGATCGAAATGGAGAGCGATTTGATGTCGACGTCGTCACTGATGGTCTCCATGGGACTGATGTCGAGCTAGTCGGCGAGCTTGGTCGGTCAAAAGTCATGTCTGGTACTAACGGAGTTGCGATTCCTCGGGGAGTGGATCTGGATGTGTTCTGGAATATGATACTCGACTGTCTTAGACGTGCAGATGAATGTAATGCTGCGCGGAAGTTGGCGTAATCTATAGATGATAGAATTGGACTGTTTAAGCCTTGGACGGGCTGTCTGTCGTTTAAACAAGCCATGTAAGCATATTTGTCAATTTTAGAGATTTGAAGACTTTTTGCAGATTATTTGCGCATTCAAGTGCTCAATAAGATGGTTTTCGTATTAAAACTTTGTCATATATTCATCGTAACCCATACCGCTATGTAACGAATCGTGCTATATAACACGCCCAGAACATGAACTGCGAAAAGTCACAGAGCACATCACCACTCCCGTATACCACCATCGGGACCAAAGAATTCTTTAGGCTGCCAGGGCTCAGTCGTCTGTGCCACACGACGGACAGCCTCCTCATCAACCTCGATGCCCAGCCCGGGGGCCGTCAAAGCATCAACATAGCCATCCTTGACGGCGAAGACACTAGCATCCTTGACATAACTAGTGATGTCATAGTCACCAGCTTCGGTGTTATAATGGATTCCGAGGCTCATCTCCTGAATAACGAAATTAGGAGTGGCAAGGTCGACCTGCATACAGGCAGCCAGGGCAATAGGACCAAGAGGACAATGCGGCGCAATCGCGACATCATACGTTTCAGCCATGGAAGCAATCCGTCGTAGCTCAGAGATACCTCCGCAATGGCTGATGTCCGGCTGGAGGACGTCAACGCTAGCATCCTCCAGGAAGCGCTTCACATCCCAGCGGCTGTAAAGACGCTCACCCAGTGCAATAGGGCATGAAACCTGGTCCGACAACTGCTTGATGCCCTCTGGGTGCTCAGAGAGCAGAGGTTCTTCCAGGAAAAGCGGCTTGTGCGGTTCAAGCGCCTTGGCTAACTGCTTCGCCATGGGCTTGTGCAAGCGGCCATGAAAGTCCAGTGCAGCATCCAGACCCAGCGCCTTGACGGCCTTCAGGCGCTCGACGCTAGATTCCAGCGCTCGCGGTGAATCCAGCCAATTCACATCCTCCGTGGCATTCATCTTGATCGCTTTGAATCCCTGTGCCAGGCGTGCTTTGCCGGCTGCTTCGACGTCGTCAGGTCGGTCACCGCCGATCCATGCGTAGACGGAGAGCTTATTGCGGACCTTTCCTCCGATGAGCTGGTGAATTGGGACGCCGAGTTTGCGGCCCTTGAGATCCCACAAGGCGATGTCGATACCGGAAATGGCGGACATGAAAACGGGGCCACCGCGGTAGAAGCCAAGACGCCAGGCCATTTGCCAGATGTGTTCGATATCACTGGCCTGTCAGTCTCCTGCATGCTAACGTTGAGGAGGAGACATACTCGGCCTCGTATCCCTGGAAGCGCTTGCACAGCGCATTGAGTGTGCCTTCGACAGCTTCTGTGTGCCCTTCTAGGGTGCTTTCACCCCAACCGTAATTCCCATCTTCATCTACTACTTTGACAAAAAGCCATCTGGGAAGGACACGGAAGTACTCGATGGTCTTGATCTTGGCCATGGTGATTGCGGGGAAGTTGGAGAAGATAACGTTGGGGGGAAACAATTGTTTAATAGCACCATAGGACTCAACGAAGGTTCAGACTTCAGATTTTGTATTTCACGTTCAGGAAGAGAAAGAGAAAAGAGAAGAAGGAAATCCAGACGGAAAAGGGGAGAAGGGAGAATAAGAAAATGATATGATTCATGGGCTCATTCGATGCTATCCCACGCGGGGGAACTATAACGTCTCGGAGATTCTCCGCATCGCCTAACCCGACTTACCGAATGATGAAACATTGGTGGACTCTGAAAGTGTCAAGGAGATGGTTTTCACTATTTCGTAGGGAGCCTCAAAACTAGAAGCTCAAGAGGCTTTAGATTAAACTCAGGATATGAATATGTAGTTGAGCATGGTATGTAAGGGATAAAGCCCCCAGGCTCGACGCTGAACGTTCTCGAAGGGACCGACAAGCTCAAAATGTAAGGGATCATTGAATACATGCGATGCGGAGGCCTTGAAAATACCAGTGGGAATAACCCTTTATACTTGAAGAAGGTGTATGTGGGAAATTCTGCAGCGAAATCGACCAGTCGAATTAGAAGCTGGTTTTACCGTGCTGAAGAAGGATTCTAGAATTCGAGAAGTTTCCCGCTGCATGTCCCCGCGAGCGATAATTGTCGGGAAACAGAATAAAGGGCAAATAGGACCCAATAGTAAAAGGGTGAATGGGAATGCAGTGCCTCTTCTGGCATACGATTCGAAATCGAGTAGGGCTGGATTGAATCACGTTCCCTGATATCTCCCCCGATTAGGCAATCCAATGGACTTCTCCGGTTCTTCGGGTGATTTTCAAAACTTCCAACGTAACTCTATTCACCAAGAATCATTCGATCCTCTTCACTCTGGTTACAATCCTCACCTGTTGTTCACCACAAACATAAATGGTTTCCTACTATCCCAGTTACCCTGAGGAGTAGTAGAAGTAGTAGCCACTCACGGCAATCTTCCATCGCATGTTTTGCCCCTTTCCTTCCATCTGCAGATCTTCGACACTGTCAAGTTGATCCCTCGGCGGACTGCGCCCGCCACTCAACCGTCTTCGCCTTCGGACAGACATGCCGCCGGCCAACTCACCTTCGGTAGGTCTCTCGATGTTTTCTTACTTTTCCTTCTTCGCTACACCGAGGTCAGGAACTATACACACATCTATCTCTTTCCAACCGTAAGGGGACGCCGAGAGATAACGCGGGAGATAGAATGATGGATATCTGGTTCCCGATAACGTGATTATCTATTTGAAACCGATACTACCATATCATCTCACGTTCAATATCTCATATCTTTGCAGCAGAATACCCCTCATTCTCCTCCATCCGCTTCCTCACTTCAGCAACTCAGCGCTGTCTCCACTCCCCTTCCATCTCTCCCAGCTTCCGTATCCGACGATGTTCATGACGATAACGTGAGCTTTCTGCGATCTCGAGTACGCTCTCCACCCGACTCCTCTTCCCTGAGTCGTCAACGCCGTCGTCGACAACAGACCTTGCCAGAGCTCGATCCCATGGATGTGGATGATCCTACGGCTTTGCGCATGTCAGTTGAAATCAACCGTCGCATCCCCATCGTGCGCCGTGAACACGATTCCTCCAGCAGCAATAATAACAACAGTATGCCTAACTATGAAGGCCGCATTTCGAACTCTCGTTCACTTTATGGATGGGCGCCTGCTTCCGATGATGACGACGAGGAGGATGACCACGATATGACCTATGGACCACTTCAGGATAGCAACACTATTTCCTCCTGGTTTGGACGGTTGTCTGATCGCAACGCGCCGAGGCGCCCTATGCGCCACGACCCCGTCGCTCAAGATCCACACACCTTCTTAGAAGCACCCCCGGAAAGCAACACCCAACGTTTGAGTGACTATTCTCCGTTATCGACAACAGAGGCACTGTTACAATCTGTGCGACGTCAACCGCGGTTTTCCCGGACACGGACATTGCATAATTATCTTTTGGATCGTGAAAGAGCCAGTCAGGACTTGGAAGAGAGCAGAGAACGATCGGGCCCGGCAGCTACATCGCGGGCATACAGATTCCTGCCTAGTAGCCGTGGTGAACCACACCGACTTCTTACACACAATGAGCTCCGCGCCCGGATAAACGCCCATCGACAACTGCATTTGGATAACCCCCCTAGTCCCCGGTTAAAAGAGACCATCAAATATCTCGACCGTCTACGATATTCAAGTTCCTTCGAAGAAAGTCTGACTTCAGCGGCTGCCGGGGGGTTCGTTCGGTTGGATTTCTTGCCCTGGGATGAGGATGATTTTATTCTAGATACAGCTTCCATCGCGCCACCGCCAATATGTTCCTGGCTTCAGCCTGGGATGGTTTTCTCGGGTTCTCAAAGGGCCGCCAGCAGTGCCAATTCTTTCTCTGCGCAGCGAGTGTCAAGTCCACCATCATCACACGACCCTCTGATTGTCAATGGAAGTGAACAGAGCGGCGGCCGGATCCCCGTACAGACAACCAGTGGTCGACGGTACATGGCCAATAACATTTACAACCTGGGTACTGGTAGAGACGAGAATTGGCCCGTCAAAGTCACCATTCATGACATCAATCCGGAGGAGATGACCCTCTCAGGAACCATGGAGGCATACAACATTCCCGACAAAACATCACCGTCCCACGATGCTCATATAGTTACATTCCTAGAAGGAGAGATCATCGACTTTAACACCCATACACTCGAAACTAAGAATTTCAAAGCCGATGCCGAGATCGACTGTACATACTGGCGTGAACTACAACCGTTCAAAAACTTGTCGGATGAAGCGATGACGCGGAGCCTTGTAAGTCGGAAATGGATAACAGAGGAATTGTCCAAGGGTTGGATTTTGATGCGATGGAAAGGCAAGCTCATGCTCCAGCTTCCTTCTGGGCCCCCAGCATTGCTAACCCAGATACAGAACGCTGTTTCATTACACCCACCGACTCACGACAGGGACTCACAATCTCTGGGTTCTATTACATCTCTTTGCATCGCGAAAGCGGCCATATTGAGGGACTATATTATGATCCGGGAAGTTCACCCTACCAACAATTATCACTAAAACCGGAGAGTAACAGGATGATCCGGCCATCCTACAGTTTCCGGTAACATGAGCATCGCTTCCTATCGATTTGGCGTAAGGTCGGCCTCTTCCAGCAATTTGCATAGCGGGTGTCATCTTTCTGCGTGGCCGTTTGCGTAATTTCCGTGTTCACTTACACACTCGTACATCAACCTTTGCACAGCTCCACAAATATTCATCTGTACCTTATAGAACAATCCTACACACCAATCTACAGTGTACATATCACGGGGGAGATATTCCTTCAATCGTACATGCCATTGGCCTATACTAGGATAAAAAAAAAAGATAAGGATCATGGTCCAAAGACGGGCAAATCAAACCCAATCAACAGAACAGTCATAGGACATAGGGAAGACCTCTCCAAAAGAAAAAATAAACCCGCACACACAACCATCCCATCAATCGAACCCGAACGAGCCCATCATGACGCCACAATCCCTACCCCACCTCCGAGAGCGAATTTACTGCTCAGTCTGGAAGTAGTTGAGGAGGACAGAGCGCTCCTGGGACTCCTCACCCCAATCCTTGACAACGACGCAAGAGCAGTTGACGACCTTGCGAGCGTTACCCTCACGGTCAAGCTGGCCTATAGACAACAATCACCGTTAGCCACACAACTCCCCGACTTTCACATATTTTTGACCAAAAGGTGGGGGGTGCACATACAAAGACCGACCCATTCACCAAGCATCTTTCCATCGGGAACCTTGATGAGAGGGATCTTGTGCTCGGAGCACAGGGCAATGACAAGCTTCTTGTAGGCCTCCTCCTCACAGCCCTCGTTGAGGACACACATGTGAGCCTGACGGCGGTCAAGAGCCTTGGCGGCCTCACGGAGACCACGGGCAAGACCGTCGTGGATCAGGGAGATGCGGAGGACACCCTTGAGGGCGTCGAGGACCGACATCTGGCCACCGGCGCCGGCGTCGGCGCTGACCTCGACCTCATCGGCGGCGGCAACGGGGTTGGAAACAGTCTCTTCTCCGTCCGACTAGTTCATTGAAAGAAACGTTAGTGTTGGAGGTCCCATTGTGCAAGGTGAGCTTGTCTATGTGGGTGGTTGTGGTGTGTGGTGAGTTGCTAGGTCGCCCAGGTCTGTTGTAGCTCTCTCTTTCTTTTCTTTTTTTTTTTTTTTATTCGTTTTCTTGGGTGTAGCAATGAATTGGATTGTGGGGGCCTGGTGTAGGGTGATGATCGAGTGGAAGGGGATCACGTACCATTTTGTCTGATGGTGTTCTCCTTGTCGGATTATCCTCAAAGAGTGAGATAGATAGGTGTGGTGATGGAGTATACTTGAGGGAGTGTGGAAACGGCGATGAGGTTTCTCGCCTAAATTGGGACCGTGTGCCCTACCAGCGTATTATGTAATCCCGGGCTTATCGATAAGTCACATGAGATGCACCCGCGATTCCACGTGACGCGCTGGGTTCGGCGCTACAATGAGGGGTATCTGCATCTCCAAAATTGTTTGTTACAGCGTGGGAATTGATGACCGCTGGTCATTCCATTGTCTATCCAAAGTCCTATCGACAGACATCACACATCAACAAGGTATCATAGTCATACATCAAGGAAACCTTCCACCTGTACAGGCTGTCCTCATAAATCGCCGGACAAATACTCTTAGAACATTGAAAGAAAAGAAAAAGACATTAGACGTATGTACTTGGTCGGTGACCATAGCCATTGGTTAGGCCTTGCACTCCATTGGGAAGCCCAGCTGTGTCCTCAACATGGGAAGGCCCAGAAATGTGACCATTGGCTTGTGGAAAGTTGAACGCTAGCGGCGCCGTAGGTTCCTGATCTATATGCATCTTCAGAAACTGGAGGTCGAGTCCATGGAGATGAGGGATGTGGGGAACAAGGTCCATAAAGTCGGAAAGCTGTGTGCAAGTCAGCAACCACCCCTGGCATCGCAACCAAGTTACGGAGATCAACGTACCTTGACCCAAAACACATGTTCCATATCGAAGTATTTTGGTCGTGTTTCGCTATCCTTCTGCATGACTTGTCCAAAGGACGAGTTCATGAAATCCGCGTCATCCGCCTGAACAAGCATCCGACGTGTAACGCGCCAGAGATTCATCCGCTGTGTCGGCGTTGCATCACGCTTCTCCCAGCTGGAATACTGTGCGAGCTGAAGGTCATTCGTCGCTAGTAACGGGGCAACTAGGTAATTAGGTACCCATTTCTCTACGGCAACGTCCGGGGCACAGGAGGGGTCGAGTTGCCGAGTCTCTGCGGTGACGACAGGCATGAACTTCTTTAACCATAGATGGCTTTTTGCCTGAGGGTCATTGGACCCAACCAGGTTAGCTGCAATGCGAAGTCGACTTGGCAAAGCATCGCGTCGTCGCTGTTCTTGTTCTTCCTGCTCCCTGCGTGCTTTGGCAAGGCGTAACCTTTCTTGCTCTAGTCGCTTCTGGCGCTCGTCTTCTGCTTGTTTGATGCGTCGCTGCTCGGCCTCTTTGCGTTTGCGCTCTTCCTCTGCAGCTTTTTCCTTTTCCTGAGCAAGGCGGGCCGCTTGAGCAGCGCGTTCCTCCTCTTCCTTGTCCAACCGAGCCTTTTCGGCTTCGGCAGCGAGACGAGCTTCCTCTGCCAGGCGTTCTTGTCTAGCCTTTCGGGCTTCCTTCTGTCGACGTGCCTCTGCCTCTGCCTCAGCTCGTTCGGTATCGTCGTCCATAGGGATATCGTTCAGGCCGTTGATATCATGTCTCTCCTGTTCCTCCTTAACCGGCTTCCGTTCAGCTGCCTTGTGGGATGGGGCGTCCACTTGACGAAGTGGATCTGGCTTGGACTCTGAATGGTGATATTCGTCATCCTTCCGGCGGGGCTTGGCATCCCCAGTTCCATGATCCTTTTTGACGCTTCCATTCGTGATGTTGGGGGTCCCATCTTCCGATAAAACACGTCTTTTCTTCTGAACAGTATCACGAGAATGCCGCTCGGGTTCCGGGACACGACCTCGTTCGGGACTCGCGCTGCTACGTCCACGTTTAAGGGGTGGTGGTCCGGACTTTGGGGGTTCAAGTTGATCAATACGCGTTTTAGAGCTTTCATCCCGGCTCGACAAGGAATCAGAGGAAGGCAAGCTAGGCCTCCTTCGATCTTGGGGAGGTCGCCCAGCAATCAAGCGTCTTCTCTTAGGAGCTTCCTCGCCACGGCTGGACTCACCATCCCTTGACAAAAGTGGCTGCTTCGGTCGGGAATCCGGACGAGCGCTATCAGGATCTGTTCCCGTAGTATGGGCTGGTTTCGGACGGACTGAACTAGACTTCTCCTTCAAATGAGCTACGTTGTCCCGCTTTTTCTCTTTTGTCAAGGCTGCATCCTTGGAGGCAGAATCCCTATAGCCCGGGCTTCCATTAGTTTTTCTTGGTCGACCAGCAGGTGACGGCGAATCTCTGCGTCCAGGACGCTTGTTCTCCTTGTCCTTGTCACGTGCTCTACGTGGCGAGTGAATATCTTGCTTGCGTGACTTCTTGGTTCTGACGTGACTGTCATATGCATCTCGAAGAAGATCGTACTCGTCCTCCCAGTTTTCTGCTCGACGTTCCCTAGAAAGCTCGAAGTAAGTCCGATCCCTGTAAAGGCGACGAGTGGGGTTGAACTCTGGCTGGTTGAGCAGAATCCTGATGACGGCAAGGTTGCCCCTTCCAATCGCAGCGAGCATGGGGGTGTTGTAACCAGGCTTCTGGGAACCGCCCTGTACCGGATCGGGGTCGGGGTCCGCGTCTCCCATACCGAGCAGAAGCGAGATCACCTCGTCATGGCCACCTTTAGCAGCTGCAATCATAGATTCAGGATCAGCCTTCTGTCCCACATTGAGGATGTTGGCAACCCCCACGATATCTCCTTTGGCGGCGAAGGCTTGTAGGTTCTCTGGGGTAGCTGTGGTCCACAAGAGATCATTTCGTGTGGCCTCGCTTCGGACAGTTTTGCGTTTCGTCGTAGTGAATGGCGGGCTACGCTGTCTATTCACAGGTGGCGATTCACGCGTACTTTCGGCAGAAACTCGTCGAGACGATGCCTCTTTGTTCTCGGATCCAGCTCTCTCCTCGGAACGACGACTAGGTCTTGGGTTGGCTTTGGCCTGCGCAAGAACCCGACGAATTTCCTCATAATCTTCACTATCAGTTGGGACCAAATCATACGGCTCGTCACCTTCAGCGTTAACAACACGGGGATTGGCGCCGGCTGCCAACAAAAGCTTTATAACATCCAAGTGGCCGTTTTCAACTGCATCGATCAACGGTGTATCTTTGTCAATGTTCTTGGTATCAATCTCACAACCAGAATCCAAAAGAAACTTCACAATGGGTGCACAGCCTTCCAAAGACGCAATCTGCAAAGGCGTATTGCCAGCATTGTCGGCAACATTTAAGTCCTCTGGGCGTTCCGCGTGCCTTGCCATGGCCGTGTCCAATTCTTGTGCTGCACAAGCACGTGCAAGGCGTGTCCGACCATTTTGATCGCGCTGTTTCTTGTGACCCGTTGGCCTCGCTGGAGAAGCTGAGGCACCATCAACCGATCCGAGCTTGCGAAGGTGCGCACTAGGTAGCGGAGAACCACTTGTGGATGATGACACAGACTGCCGGTCTTCCGAACTTTGTCGTGGGTATCCAGTAATAAGTGGTGTCGGTGCCTTCTTCTTTCGTTGCAAATCACCAAGCTGGGGTCCAGAAGCAGTTCGCTTGTGAGTAGATCGGACTGGCGAGGCCGACCGGTCAGTCGATACCGGCCGGGGGAAAGTTACACTGCCTAAGTCCTTCCGCTCCCGTTCACGAGATGCTGCTGGTTCTCTCGGGCGAGCAGGACGGCCCGCGTCCCCCTCACCATCGATGGTCTCACTGAAGCTGCGCTTTCTCGAGGTTCTGGGTACGGAGGTAGTCGAGAGTTCGGCTCTACTTGAAAGAGACTGCACATCCTCAGGCTTCTCTATTTTCACAATTGACGGCGGAGACGCTATTCTTTTCTTCGGGCTCAGGGGACGTGGATCCCGGTCGCGTCCATCGGAAGAATCGCTATCCGTCAACTTTCTCTTTCGCACCTGCAGGTCGTTAGGAGGAAGATCACTCTCCACCGCATCAACATGGTCATCATCATCACGTCGTTTCGGTTCATGCTGTATGTACTTCCGTCTCTTTTCCGGTGACAGGGACTCGCGGCCCGATTGAATTATGGTTTCTGCCTCCGAGTCAGCCTTGGGGCTTGGTGGCCCTTCGCCAGCCCCAGCAACAGGATCAACCTCTTTGGCGCGATCGCCCTCTCTCCTGTAGGCAGGGAATGGAGAAGACCTCTTAGGAGACCGTGGACCTGAAGGAGATCGGTGGTTCACTTTGATCGCAAGAGCACTGTGTCCGGCGTCTAGGGCAGCTGGCAGGGAGGAGACAGCATCAACATCACTCATAGCGGTGGCACTCGATTTCTGGGGGTTCCGCTCGTCATTTTCGGGGGCCGTGGCGAAAAGGAAGACTCGTGGTCAGACACCAGCAAGTATGCGCGGAAGCTGGTGCTCGACCACGCTAGATGGTAAGGAATCGTTCTTTGGGTCGGTTCTTTGCGTACAGCGGAAGCGATAATTCAGGGCGAGTGGTCAAGAGGGCGTGGTTAATGAGTCGAGATAGGAGGGCAGCAGTATGAGGGAAAGAGATGAGTAGATTTAGAACTCGGAAAAAGAGTTAATCTTGCGGGAGACGGACAAAGAGGTGACGGGAAGAGGAAGGAGAAATAGAATCGGAAAGGAAGAAATACAGTCGACAAAGAGACCAGAAGGTGATTTTTGAGGTTCAAGGTGGGAGAGGGAAAGATTGGGGGAGGGGAATTCAACAGAGGAAGCAGACGAGAGAGAGAGAGAAGAGAGTCGAAGAGTTGCGTTGAAACAGCCGACCACTCGTTTGGGGTTTAGGGAAATTTCGTGGTAGTAATTTAGCAGTTAGAGTAGAAGCAGGAGTCGCAGCAACTTGTCGTCCATAAGCGGGTTGGTGGTAATGGTAAGTATTGCCCCGGGAAACTTACAGCCGGGGGGGGGGTTGTCTCCTCTCTTGTTTTGGCCACCAAGACAAGAAGCACCAAATGCTTTTTTCGCTAACTCAGAAAAGACCTAGTTTGTGGTAGTAGTTATCTACCACCAAGTAGTCATGGGTGATGGTATGATACGGTACGAGAAACATAAACCCCATCTTTATTATCCACCAAGGCCGAGAAAAGTACGTTTCAATCCTAATCACATCACCCAAGTTTTTTCCCTTTTTCCCTTTTTCCTTTTTTCCTTTTTTTTCTTACTTTTTCTTATCTGTGGGTATAATGGGCCAATCCTATAATTCCCATACTTCCCCCTCTTTGAATGCATAACGACCACCAGAATACGTAATACTTACAGATGCAGCCGCAACGGAGGTACAGGGAGGCAAGATGAAAGGCCCTTCCGAGTCTCAAGATCCTGCGCGAAGGCCCAAAAGCGGGCGGGGGCGGTCAAAAAGTGGCGTATGAATGAATTAATTTCCTCTTTTTTTAGGGTGGTGGTGCCTCTGAAACCTGCACTTTGGAACGGAGGGCAAGAGGTGGTGCGCCAGTCACCCTCTTTGCAGTGGACTTTGAGAGGAATCCCTGGAAGCTGCGTAGGCTATTAGACTACCAAGGCGTCAATTTACCCAGGTCGAACCAATGACCGGGCAGACCGTCGCCCGCTCATTACTATTTCCGGCCTAGACGGCCTTGCTCCCAATTTGGCAGACCCACGTTGAGTCGCAGCGATCTGCTGATTTCCGTCCAATCACCACGCCACATTATTGCCTGGTTATCGCCCCACTTCGCCGCCGTCTCTGGTTGGCATCGACATGGATTATTGGACCCATCGATGGATCGGCCTTAAAAGGAGAAGGGGGGAAATGGTGGTAATGAGGAATGTACCAATGTAATGTGCGGCGGTATTTTATCTGTGAAGAGTCATTCTTCCGTCTGAGCATGAATAACCGCGTTGTTTTTCTTTCTCTATATTTTCTTTTTTTTTTTTCCCCTGTTTGTTTTTTTTTTTTCGTACCGTCTCTAGAAAAAGTTGGGGGAAATGACAAATGCAGGAGGTCTGTTGGTATGAGTCAAGCATTCGTTTGAATGTTCAAAATGAAATGTGTTGTTTACTTACACCGTGACTGACTAATAATTACTTTTACTCCATGGATACCAAACAAAGAGGCAAAATTTAGAGCTAAGTTCATGTTCTCTACTGGCTTCTCACGAGACCACAGTGGAACCTAAAGGATGCCGATTATTACTTGGTTTGGGGGTTTGTTTATGATTTTATGACTGCTCATCTTGCCTTGGCCTGTGGAGTCTCGGTGGTTTTTGTTCTCCACAAACAGCAGTCGAACGTGTCTCATCGTTGTGACAGAACAGGGACCATCGTCAGTGTAAGTAATGCGAATACGAGGTTTCACCTGCAGCCAAAGTCCAGATCGCGTCCCGGAACCATTCCATGAGCAAAACAAACCCCAGAGTGGTGTGCTGCCTGTCGACTAGTTCTTTTCAGGTTTTTTTTTGATCCTCAATCAATTCCCCCTCCTTGCCCATCATCTGCGGGTTTCCTCCACGTAGGGGACAGAACTTTCAGGACGATGGACTTCCTTCCCAGTCTCATCGATCGGGCGCTGGCTACTGCCCACATGGACGCTGTGGATGTCCTTCGAGCCTTCTTCCTCTTTGCATCGTGTACGGTATGATAACATGTTGACAATGACGTAGTGGCAGAACGCCGAGGATCATACGGCATCAGTCTACCAATTTTTTTCTATCTAAGATGACTTCAAAACTAAACTCCCCAGATCCTGTCGGTCAGCCTGTTGGACTCCCTTCGTTCGCGCTTCGTCCCTTATGGCGCTCGTGCAACCGTGACGGTCGAGTCGGATTCTACCCCGTCTAAGCCTTCGAGCAGCTCCCCGATAACTCACATTCTCGACCATCTTGCCTCCTTGAAAGTTCCACACAGCTATTTCACACAGTTCTACGTCGTCTCCCTGCTATCCTCAATCTTCTGGGCCCTTCAGCTTGTGTGCCATGGACAAGCGTTCCAAGCCATCGCGACGAGGGTTCACTCAGAGCACCTACAGAGGACGATGTCGATAAACCAGGTTATGTTGTGTTGGGTACTGATGCTGGCGCAAGGTGTAAGACGGTTACATGAGTCCTTCGCCTTTTCCAAGCCTTCTTCTTCCCAGATGTGGTTTGCCCACTGGCTAGCAGGCATTGCCTTCTATCTGGCAGTCTCAATCGCCCTCTGGATTGAGGGGACAGGTATGCAGTTCCCGTAGCGAAGCACGATTGCTGTCCCACTAATTTCAATCGTTTCGAAACTCGCAGAAACGCTACTGTCCCATAGATGGAGCCGCGACGATGTAACAGTGAACAACGCCCCAAGCCTTCGTACATTTCTCTGCTTGCCAATCTTTCTGTTTGCATCTGGCCTGCAACATGACGCCCATCACTATCTTTTCTCTCTCAAGAAGTACACTCTTCCCTCTCACCCTATGTTCCGCAGCATCGTATGTCCACACTACACAGCTGAATGTGCGATCTACCTATCATTGGCTCTGCTTGCCGCTCCCCGGGGAGAGATGATCAACAAAACTGTTTTGTCGGCTGTCGTCTTTGTCACGGTCAATTTAGGCGTCACTGCATCTGAGACCAAACGCTGGTACATGCAGAAATTCGGCGATAACTCGGTGCGGGAAAGGTGGAATATGATACCATGGGTATACTAATGCTGTAGTATTGAGACATTTGTGGGGCAGCTTATCCCTGGTATCTGGAGGTGCGAGCAGGATCACCGCCCACCCAGGAATTTCATCGTATTGCCCACCTTCGCAACCTTGAGTACATCCCGATACGTCAGACTAATCCTAGTCTCCCTTTCAAACCATCCACACCGGTATCGACCCTGTTCCCGCAACAGATCCCAGTTACATATAGAGTCAGGGCCTAGCCCTTCATCCCTGGTTGTCTCCGCGATACCATGCAGATAGTCTGTGTAGATCTTTTTGGTTGTAACCAACAAACTTCGTCGCTCCTGCAAAATGCGCTGCTGCGGTCTACGGTCCTCGCCGTCCCGGCCCTGACCTTTCTGGTACAAGTCCAGCACAATTGGCGCTCCCAAACTCACCGTGGCAACTAGTGGGCAATAAGCAGCACCATCTTCATGTGGCATGATGCCCTGTCCGGGGCGGTACTCGTTCACTAGAACATGATTCGGGGCCTTGTGCGGGGCATCAGCAAAGATGCCTAGCGATTCAAAGCGAGAGATGACGGGTGAGACGAGCCAGGATGGAAGGGAGGAGGAAATGAGGGCGTTGGACTTGGTCAGGGCAGAGGGCCACGTTTGGAGACGACGGTGGGACAGATGAGTCCAGCGGGGCAGAGGGACTGTGGTTATCTGTCATGCAGCATCATCACACCAATCAGTATCCAAGTCTCATTGACAGGCTACGCTCTGTACCCGGCCATCATTCCAATCGGCGTAGCTGGTCGACAGGACACGCCAGTGGAACACTAATGTACAGCATATACCTTTTGTAACAGCACCTCTTCCTCCTCTTTCGTGATGAAATCCGCTATGTAGAACGCATCATCCGGCAACGACTTGATCCGCGCCGTCTTGAGATCTACATTCATCTGGGACCGTACACTGCACTGGTCCTCGGTACAGATCTACAATCCCACCCCATCATCAGATAATGATAAACATTCCCAGAACCAGGATAGAGTGGAACTTACCTTTCAATAACCTTTCACGAACTAGTACGTGAGAAATAAAACTAAAATAAAATAAAATCCCCCCACCTATCAAACTCAGTCGGAGCAGAAGGGAAACGTTCGGGTAAAGTCATCAAGTCATGTCGTCACCTGCAACGCATCCAGTAGAGACGAAGTCATCGCCTCAGGCATCCGAGAAACCCCCCCCACCAAAGCCCCACATGCGTGACCTCAACATCAGATCTCAATTTGACTGCCCATAACAAGATCTCGACCCAGCATTCGCCAACCCAGATATTTGGAAGAGGCAAGAGATAAGCACCTTCTCGAAGGGTCGAAAATCAAACCAAAAGTATTATCTAAAAAAACCACAAACTAAAATCAGAGTTTAAAAAAAAGGGAAAAAAAAAAAAATAGCACTTACCCCAAAACAATCACAAAACAACACAACCCCAAAATGGCGCCCAAGAACAAGGGCGGAGACAAGAAGGGCAAGGGAAATGATGGAGGTGATAAGGGGGGCAAGGGATTGAAACCGGCGACTTCGATCAATGTGCGGCACATTCTTGTATGTATTATGTCCCCCCTCCCTTCTTCCTCTTACTATGATCTCCCTTTAGATTGGGTTTGAGGCGCAATATATATAAAACGGGTGCATGGGGTTGAGTCGGTTCCGTATAGATTGACAGCCATCCGCTAATAATACCATGGGTATGAGACATTTATTTTCTAATGATTTTCGGGTTTCGTTAGTGCGAGAAACACTCAAAGAAGGAGGAAGCCCTGGAGAAACTCCGCAATGGGTCTAAGTTTGATGATGTTGCTAGGGAGTTTTCGGAGGATAAGGCGAGACAGGGTATGTATTCTTCCTTTTTTTCTTTCTCTCTTGTCCGTGCCTTTTTATTACGCTTATTTTGAATGAGGAGCGATATATTGATGGCTGTGTATAGGTGGTTCTCTTGGCTGGAAGGTCCGGGGAAGTCTGGATGGCACCTTTGAGAAAGCAGCATATGAGCTGGAGCCTAGTACGACGGCGAATCCGAAGTACGTGGAGGTGAAGACTGGATTTGGATACCATATTATCATGGTTGAGGGGCGGAAGTAAAGAAAAACTTCTTTTATGCCAATTTTAACCATTCCATTCTCAAGCATGGAGACTCTCAAAATGAGATACTACCACATCAATACCGAAATAAGATAATGAGTCTCATGAACTAATCAAAACGCTATAGTTTTAGCAAAACAGTCTATATATACATGAACTAAGCAATATTTTACTGGCTCTTTGCAGCCTTCGCCCGCTCTTTCGCCTTCTTCTCCTGTCTTTGCACCACGGCCTCAGCACCAATGCCACCGAAAACAAGGCCCACGCCCAGCCACTGCCCGGAAGATAGAGAGTGGCCGAACCAGAAGACACTCAGCAGCATGGTCAGCATTTTACGCGTGACAGTGACGGTCACCAGGAGCAGAGACGAGAAGCGGGAAAGAGTGTAGAAGATAAACAGCTGTCCAACTGCACCGCAAGCTGCGAAACCTAAGACATGTTTCAGAGCTTCCGGATGCCTTGACAGGAAGGAAATGGCGGACGCCAGTTCTGTCTCAGTAGACGGGGGAATGGGAATGGGAAGAATGGCGTGCAGTATGCCAGTGGACGACAGGTGGGGCATCACAAGGAGATACGTGCTGGTTAGGAGAGTCGAGAGAACATTCTGCGCTACCATCATCTGCGGCCCCGTGAAGCGGGTGTAGATCTGTGGGGAACTGAAGACGTGGTCTTGAGTAGTGTTCGTGAGGCCGTCCAAGAGAAGATTGATGGAAAGGAGGAAAATTCCCCACATGGATGAGCCGGACTGGTTCTTCGCGGCGGATGCGGCGACCTTCTTGCTTGTACCCGGGTGGTGAAGGGTGAAAGTTGCGACTCCGAGGGTGACCAGAAGAACAACTCCATATTTATACAAGGGGTACCTTTTCCGGAAGATGGTCAAGTGCAGGAACATGACTGGCAGGAGCTTGCACGATTTTGCAAGGATAAATGTCAGATAGTCAATATGCGCAAGACTGGCGTATCCAAATGGCGAGGCGAGTGACGAGGAAATGCTAACGAGGAACAGAGGGAACAGGATCTTCTTGGTCGGGAAGATTGATGGTATCTTCTGGCCAGCTGGAGTCGAGAAAAAGAGGTACAGGAAGCCTGTGATAGCGGCAAATGTGGACTGGATTGTGTTCAGGACAATCGAAAACGTGAAGCGCTCGGTAGGAGGTTCGGGTTCAGCTGCAGTTGGAGGATGGACACCGTAGGAGACTGTAGTGATCGCTTCTTGAAGGACGCCCCAAGAGAGACTTGCACGACTGTTAGTTACTCGCGAAGCAAAAGTCAAAAGCAGTCCAAGTCACTTACAATGACGCATAAATCCCAAGGACACAAATCGCAAGTTGCGCCAAACCTGGAGTCTCTAGAGCAGGTTCATGCGCGACTTGTCCTTTGTGCGCACTGCCATTGGTAGCAAGCTTCTTAGCGCTGCCATTCTGTTGCTTTGCTTGTGAATCAGATCCCTCCAGGGGCATGTGCATTAATTCAGAAGAAGTGGCCCGTTGCAAGGGCGTTGTTTGCTTCTGGCGCGCCATCGAAACAAGCTATAGTAGAACAAGATCAAACGAGGGACAAAGGTGATTAAGTAGGATGGAATAGAGGGAGAAACGAAGGGAAGGTCTCTAAGAGAGAATGAAAGAGAAATATGAAAACATAGACAGAAAATGAGAAACAAGAGCAGGGGGTATCAGGGCCAGAAATAAGGAACCCCAAGCCGATGATGCCATGTGTTCTTCTTTTTCCCAAAAAAGAGGAACGCTAACTTAATTTTGTGAATAATTAAATCGGATTTTCGTTCCCCACTTCTAGGGAACTTTTCCTCTCCACTACCGTTAGAGAAGTTCGGTACAAGCACCAGAAGCTGAAATGCGCTTCTTGATTTCTTTTTGTCTCAATAGATAGCTCATCCCAGAAATTCTGTGTCAACACCTCGAATTGTGTTCTACATTCACCAATTTCGCACTGCGCATTCCACAGACGCAACAAGTGAACGAAGGGAGGAGCAACGAAGCAGGAAAGAAAGAAGAAAAAAGGAGACAAACAGACAGGCAAAGAGACAGAAACAACAACTAAAGGACAGGAAAGGGGACACAAAATGGCATCAACACCGTCCGCTCCTCTTGCGACACCAGAGCTATCAGCTCTCACCAACCTCATCTCCACCTCCGCATCCTCCGATCCCCTCTCCGCAAGCACAATCCAAATCCTCCACAACCTCCAACACCAGCACCTATGGACATCACTCCAAGTCCACAACCTTAAGGACCCATACCTTAGGGCTTCATCGCTAGGAGAAGGGCTAGCGACAATGCCTTCAGAAGATCAAACAGTTCCCCAGTACCTAATCTCCGGTATACCTCCGCATCGAGTCTACACACATCCGGATGAGCAACTATACCTACTAGAGCGAGGGCTCCGTGAAGAAGACCTCGAGCTGGAGCGCATGTTTATTTTACCGACTGTTAAGAACCAACCGTGGAGTTTGCGCAAGATGGCGTCAGTGTTCGATTCGCTTCCCGACGAGGCGGACATTCAAGCTGAGGAGGCTTCAATGAATGACGGCGAAGAAACAAGTGATGGGCTCGGTGGAGAAAAAGCGGTCAAGCTGGTAGAATACTACGAGTATAGGAAGAAGGCTCGTCTCACGAAGGAATGGGGTGGAAAGAGGCTCCTCCTTGCTATGGTGGACAGGGGGATGGGCGGTGATGGGACAGTGGTTTATTATGTTGTCCAAGAGGGTGCTGTGAAGCCTCGACAAAATTAGAAACTCTCCGTCCAGATTGCAGTTATGACACCGGTTTACGACCCGCTACAGGAAGTACAACATGCAGGGTGATATATCAAATCGAGTCACGATTGTGACCCACGACATGAGGAGTTACCATCAATCTCTTCGATGTGTTATACAATTTGAGCTATACATTCAAGCGCTAAACATGGGATTGTCTTGGAACACATACATGAGACAAAACAGACCCGTTAATTGCAATAGGGTATCGTTCAAACAAATATCAGAGGACCCGGAATACACAAGATGACCCACAAATCTCTGGCGCCTACTCATGAGTTGCCATACACACGGTGATTCTCTTCGACTAAGTCTTGTTCTTGATGGCAGCTTGTACAATACCTTTCGTACCACTCCCTGACATCGTCGGATAAATCAGCGAACGCAGCCTGACTTGTCCGATCCACCTGCATGTCTACCTTGTCACTGTCACTACTCTGTCCAAGCAGGGCTTCGACTTGGTCACAGCGTCTCAGTTCTTGTCGGAGCCAACGCTCCCATTCGTTCTGGAGGATCTCTCTTTCGATGCTGTTCACCACGCGTAGGCCTACCACGAGGTCATGTCGATGCATAGCCAGACGTTCACGAGTCTGCTGGAGCCGTCTGGCTGCGCTCTTTGTCGCTGAATCTCTCGGACCGGACGTACTGATGGACAGCGGGGTTCCAACATTCCGTATTGTTTGCTGGTGGAAGGTGGCGAAGCAGTCACTCACGTCGTCGCTTGTATGTCCGAGGGTTGAGTTCGCAATTACTTCGTCGATGTCCCTCATGTAAATAGCTTTGCTCATGACATGGTCCGGGTGAACTCCTAAACGAGCCATGAAATTCTCGGCTTTTCTTTCGTACCACCAATCATAGGCATCCCGTGAGGTATAGAACCCATTTATCAGCATGCTGGATATTAACAAGGCAAGGATAATCAAATTAGCATTTGCAGTCTTCCAGACCCAGCGAAAGAGGGCAAACGTCCAAAGCATCACGGACGATACGGCACTTTCGAGGAAGCTGACGAACGTCTCAAATAGAAGTTGGACCAACGTCCTCTGAGTGCGAGGATTTCGAATCTCTATCTTGAAGTCTGACTCGCCTAGTTGTGATACGGTGTTCTGACGGCCAACGTGACCGAAGATTGTAATGGCTTTCTTGGTTCGGCTGTGTGCACCGAGCCTCCGCACTTGCTCGCTCACGAGATCTACAAGATCCAAAGCATCTTGCTCTAAGTCACCGGTTGCTTGTTTGTCAATGACACCTGATAATCATTAGCAATGATTTTTGCGGACCTGGTTCTGTCATACTCACGTTGAATGCCATAGGGAGACCACAACCACTCCACCTTAGTATATATAGCAAGCTTACTCTTACCCTTTGCGACAAATGTGATCACAATCTTACTGACCAGTCTGAACGAGCGCTTGAAAGGAAGATGCCAAGGGGTCCGTTTGTCCGTTATCACGTAGCACAGGTGGTCATTAAGGACATCTATCATCTGATAATCGGATATGGTCTGGCCGTGCTTATGACCTAGTACATGGCGCATTAGTTGTAGTTCTATAAAGCATGTAAAGGTCGATTCACATACCAAGCATATTCGTTGTTTCAATTCGGTACTTGAAATCTCGCCTCAAATGGTTAGATTCATTGCGAGACCAAGGCCCTTGCTTGATGTCTTCAAACTATCAGCAATGCTCTGCCTTCCATACGGGTTCACATAGCTTACCTTGAGCCCTTCTTTGGTGCAAAAGGAGCTGCCAGACGGCACTCTTGTCGCCGAAAAGAATATGGAAAACCGCCTTAGGGCTGAGATCAAATACCTTCTCTGCTGCAAGATGAAGGTTGCCTTGAGGAACATATTGAACGGGTTGAGTTGGCAATCTGAACTTCATTACATCCTTGCCGTTGCTGCCCTTCTTCGAATGCATATCTAAGCCTTTCTCGATATAGATGGCCGGCCGAATATCCTTCCGTGACCCTGGAGCTGCAGCATCTACTCCAGAAAGTTTCTCGTCCATGCCCACGTCTTCCCAGCTATCAACGCTAGGAGTTCGTGTTGCCGCATCTGCTTCCATTTTATTGAGAGCATTAAAGATTGCTTCAAGCCCCAGAGATTCAACAGCGGTCGTATCGTCAATTAAGAAGTTGAGACGTCTCTGGAGGAGTTTCAATGGCTCGAGGAAAGTTTTCACCGTAATTCGACCTGGGATGTCTTCACCAGGCCTCGGAACGGTGTGAAAAAATAAAAAGTCAGAGTCTCTCCCAGCAGCAGCTGTTACTTCTTTGATACTCTCCAACGAGACACTTGTTGTTAGTACAAGCCCAAAATAATGGCTATAGAAGTATAAGTCGCGGGTCGTAACATAAGCTCTTCCAGGGAATTCTTGCTGATCATTCATAGCATATGTAGCTCGGAAAACCATCACTAAAGGCTCCTCCTTTTTGACGTTCGGGAAAAGCAACCGGAATTGGGCATCCTGAATCTTAAGCTGCTGTGGATAGTAACTCGGATACTCATGCGTAACTCCCAAGACTGCACGCTGCACTTGGGATGCATTCCCGTCCAAGCTAACTGTCTGTCTATGGCGGGGACCAATCTTGTGTTGCTTAGCCCCAGTGCCACTAGGGGTATTCGCTTCTGTTAACATTACATGCTTTGATGAGTCACTCATTCGTGAGGATGGTCGTTGTTGGGAGGCTGCATCCTGTTCCGTATCAGGGCACCCCATGCGTTCTAGTTCAATCCTGTTTACAAAGCTCCAGTTAGAACTACCCCACAGGTTCGCCATCATACCGCTTGGCATGCCGCCAGTCTTGTCAGCTTGTCCCAGCCCGATTCCTCTTTCATTGCTCACGATAACAGCCGCCCTGCTCATACTTGTAGGTGCAGGCGGGTTTGCTAGGGTCGGTGGAGCAAGGGTTGTGGGAGGATCAAAGCGGTTGGACATACTGCGTCCCCTGTTCGGGTCGCCGTCTGCCACACTAGACGGAAGTGCGGTACCGGAGACAATAGTGTTATGGCTAGCAGAGATAAGGCTGGCTATTCCACCTCCAGCACCTGGTATGGATGTAGAAGGTTGTACATTGTTGTTCATTTTGCGGTGGAGGTCCAGTTTCTGAATGATTCGAGATGTATGTTCTCTAGGGGAAGTCTCGCATTCAAGTCCAGTGAGGCGTCGGCTGATATCACTACTGCTTCGAAGAGAGGCCGGATCTCTTTCTGGGAGGGGAAGCATGCCATTGCGGTCCGACGAATTGTGTTCGTCGTGTGAGTGAGGTGTTAAAGAATCCGCTGGGTCAGCAGTGAACTCTGGAGCTGGAGGTTGAGAAATTGCGAAGGCTGGATCTTGGACAGTAATTTTGCCAGAAACTGAAAGATCTGTACTCGCTGGGTTTTCCAAGGCTTTTCGTTTAGCAGCCTCAAAAGCCGATATCCACTCCATGAGTTCCTTTTGTGTCTCTGCCTGGAGCATGACACTGTTGCTTTTCGTCTTCACTTCAAAGCAAAACCGCCGTTCTTCTTGGAATGCCGCTCGAACACTACAGAGTAAAACCCCAATTCTTTCGCTTTCTTCGACACCGCCAGTTCGCGGACCCTGCACAAGGCAACTAAATATGCCATTCTTCAAGAATATCCAGCGTCGAACCCAAGCAGTCCGTGTAGGCTTGCCATAGAGTGTTCGCAGATACACCCATCCCTGTTTTTCAGGCCGGGCTTCTTTCGTCATGCTAAGATCCGATAAAGGGCGGGACCCAAGGTAAGGAACGGTGGACACAGAATAGTCTTCAAGCTCACGAGAAGGTCTAGCCGCCGTCTCTGCAGCTTCTTCAATTTCTTTCCTTGCAGAAAATAGCTCTCGCTTAGAAGACCTCTCACTTGCATCCATTTCAAGTACCCAACCTTTTATCCTGTCCATCTCATGGGCCCACTTGGCAAATCCTGCGCCGTTTATTTGGAAGAAAGTCTTAAACTCCCGCCATTGGTCAAAGGACACACCTACCAAGAGCCGGTCAAGGCCATTTCGTATTTGGGGGGCTTGTACCGAGAAGTCCATCGAAGCCTTGAGATAAGCTTTGCGAGCCTCGTGAAGTTGAAAGGCGTCTTCTCTCAGAGACGAGGGTTCCTTCGATTTAGATTGCGATGAATATCTAGACAAGAGGTAGTCATAATGTTTTTGTGTCTGGTCGAGCACTCGACGGGTCTCCTATAGTGGGGTTAGATACTGATAGACCGGCGCTGGTTGTGTGGTCCTAGGGTCACCTTGAAGTTGCGCAGATCCTCTTGGATAAAGATCCTTATAGGTTCTGCAACCAGCATCTCAATCTTTTTTGAAGTAGACACCAGCCCATTCCACAAGTCCTTTGAACTATCCCCGCATCTCCTCATTGACAGTAGCGTATAATCATGGTCGAGTGCAGCTTCTGAGACTGCGACAGGGTGTGTAGAATATGACAGAAAGGTGTTAACAATACTCTCCATGGATGCTAGCTCCATAGAGAGCTTCGAAGCAGCCCTCGCATAACCATCGAGCCATCTTTCTAGGAACTCAATCTGGTCGGCAAAGTGTAGCGTGGTGGCACGGAATGTCGGCGAATCGAGTGCGGCCTCCTTTAGTCCAACTGGGCTTTATCGATAGTGTTAGTATCATCATTGATGCTTCTAGCCATAGAATGCAATATTTGCACAACTCACACCACACTGACGAGCTTCCCGACTTGGGGCACAGGGATCTGTTGCTGGGTCGACATCTAGTGTATGTCACCGGCCATCCACTTGACTCGAGGAAAGATAGCGATGAGAACACACAAGCAATGGTCCCCAGAGTAGTCAATTTATCAATATAAGGGGCATTCGAAACAAATAGGGGTATGGGTCAGAGAAGGAAGTAGAAGTCATATAGTCCCGGAGCTTGGAGCGAGCGCCTCCTCCGTCGACTCCATTCGGGGATTAACCAAGTCTCACGAATGATCTAATTGGCTACGTCAGTGATTTGTTTTGCAGCCTGGATCTTCAGGCACAATGTGGATCATGGGCATTGAGGCGGTGAGAGTGGGCGGTTTTTCTGCCGCCTGCTATCACTTTTTTTTTTCCGGGCGCATGGCGACTTGGTTGAACCGGTCGGCTTCGCACAA